TTTTTTTTTTTTTTTTTTGGAAAATTGGGGTTTTGGTAAAAGGGGGGTTTTTTTTCCGTTTGTTGGGGGGGGGGAAAAAAAAGGGAAAAGGGAAAAGGGGGGGGTTTTGCAAAGGGGGTGGGGGTGTTTTTGGGGGTTTGGCCATAATTTTTTGAATTAATTTGCTTTTGAAATTGGGGGGGGGAGGAAGAAAAAAAAGGGGTTTTTTTGGGGGGGGGGGGGGACCTGAAGGGGATGTTTTTTTTTGGGGGGGGGGAAATTAAAAAGGGATTTTTCCCCCCCCCCCGGTTTTTTTGGGGGGGGGGGGGGGTTGGGGGGGGAAAAAAGGGGGGGGAAATTGGGGGCTTTGGGGAAAAAAGGGGGGGGGTTTTTTTTAAAAATCGGTTTTGGGGGGGCCGGGCCCTTTTGGGGGGGAGGGGGGGAACCCCCCCCCCCCCCCCCCCCCCCCCGTATCAAAAGCTGCTCGGGCGCGTCATCAAGGGTCTCCTTGCCGGGTTTTTCAAGACCTCGGATCGGAGGCAGGTGGTGGACACGGGTGCTTCCAGCGTGCTGAACGCTTGCCACGCCCGACTAAGGTTGACGCCGCTGGCGCTGCGAGTGGCGAAGAAGGGGTCGTACAGGTGCGGTATGTTCGGATGGCGTTGTGTGTCGTCGTGTCGAGCATCCCTCTCTTGTTGGGTCTTCGCCTGGTGCCTGGTGTATTGCATGGCACCGTTATGTCGTGTCGAGCATCCCTTTCTTATGTTTGTTTTTGCCCGGCATAGTGCATGGTGCTGTTTTGGTTTGTACGAAAAGCTGCCGTTGTGCTGTGTATCAGTTGAAGCGGAGGGTGCAGCACAAGGGTAGGAGCCAGGAGACAAGTTCGTAGCCTAGGAGTCAATTTTTGTTGGTCACCTCCATCACCCCCGCCCCAAGTCCCGCGGAAAGCAGTCATTTGCACTCGTTTGACGGACCAGCCTGCCCCGAATGGGTTCTACCGGTAAGATCAAAGTCGAGGTTGCTGTGAGGGTGTTCTGTATTACACACCAGATCGCAAGGGCTTGAGGTCGGCCCTCAGAGTGTGTTCTACGGCTGAGATTAAGCCCTAGCTCTTGAGGAATTGTATGTTTGTACTTCACCATGTGCGGTCTTTTGAAAGTGGCTTCTTGAGGCTAATTCCCCACGAGTCAGTCCTACAGGATCAGGATCAGGGGCGCACACTCCTTCGGCCCGGCCTTTGCCATGGGCACGCATTGACGGCCCGGGTCTTGAAAATCGGTCAGCCGCCTGTCAGCGTAGGTCGATGCCGTTCGCAGAAAGATGGACTCACTTGCATCTGGTCCTCCGTTATGGAAATGTGAAGCGCGTTTGTCGTACCTCTTTGTTGGTCAGTTAGTTGGCTCCGCCGGTGGTGGTGCCAAATACACACAAGCACATCCCCCCCCCGGGCTCAGTTTGTGCTCTCCCTCCCGCTCTCGCTCCCGCTCCCGCTCCCCCCTCCCCCCATCTCCATCGTCCAGGAAAACGGCGGACCGGAAGGTGTTGGTGGAGATGCCGCCGACGAAGAAGGGGTTGCTGCGGCGCGTGCTGCCAAGCCTGCGGGCTGGCAAGGTGGAGGCGGAGGTGACGTACCTGTCGGACAAGTGGCGCGTCTGCCGGGCGGGCGGCGTGACGGTAGCCTTCCGGAAGAACGGCGGCGGGGACTAGATAGGGGAGAGAGGGGCCCGAGGGAAAGGGAGCAGCAGGTAAGGGAGGGTACGTATGTGTTGTGGAAAAGGTTGGTGGTGGTGGGGGGTACTTTTCTGTGCTTTGCATGCCTTAGCGGGTAGACCACTGACCACGCGTCCTCGAGAGGACGGAGCGCTGTTCCCACAGGACCGATCACCGATGGCCAATCGTTCCTTCCTACTGAAGGTTGGTGGTGGGGGCGGCTATATGTACGGCATGGAAGTGGACGATGGAACATGGGTGGGTACGTTGGGCATAGCTTCGTTCCGGTGCCGGACGGGCAACGAACGGGTGGGTAAAACGTTGGACACATTCGCGGCATGCGTACAAGATAGGACGGGAGACACCTGTCTGAAGTTTTTGTTTTTTGTTTTTTGGTGAAGCGGCGGGGACGCGGGATGGGGGCAGTGGTTCGTATTGACGGATTCTGTTTCAGCGAAGCATGAAAAGGCGGCCGTGCAGTCGAAGGAAGCATGCCTCGTGAGTTGACGGTTGGTCACGGTCGAGTCCCTCTCTTTTCGGGGTGACGGAATGGAATACAGGACAGCTGGGGTGCCAGAACGATTGACGGGGTCTTCTTGCCTGCTCTCCGTCCATCACGCCGACCTGCACCCACTTTTGTGCCTTTTTCGTTGTTCGAGATATAGAATCCCCGCCCAGCGCACCAACGCGCGTATGAGAACAATTGGATCGTATCGACGTTCGTGCCTCACATTTTTGTAGCGGTGAGACTAAGCACGAGCCCACCCGCCCACCCACTTGCACGCGTCCGCTTCCGCCCCTGACCTTTGTCGAACTACCCAACGGCAGATTTTTGCTAAAAAAACAGCATTTCCAGGCGTGCGGCGAGACGAAGAAGGGGTGGACATTTTAGAGGAACCCGGACACTTCGGTGCTGCGTGTACCCGCGCTGCTTAGCGGGCAGGGTCGTTCACAAGTGACAAACGGACACCCGAGCAGCCCTTTCTTTTTCTATTTCTTATGGCGACTAAATGCCGGTGTGCTGGTGCTGCTCCAGCGCGATCGGCGAATAAATCCCCTGGCAATCGCGAGGACGGCTACATAGTGAGGTCAAGAGCTCGCAGATAGGCTTGTCTTGTGTTTGCTTCACAACCGACGACCTGAAAAGACCGTTGTCTAATGGATGCACGCCCGCTCCAGGCAGGCGGCGGGCTGTGTCGTGCAGGACGGGGCATGTGTTTAGCCTTGCGCCCGCATACGCATACCTTTACGCGCAGGCTCATAGCCGTGGACTACGTAGGCTATTGTCGGGCGTTGGCGCACGAGCCACCATTTTGTGTATTTCATCTGTAACAGCGGTTCCGGTTTTGTTTACTCGCAAAAGACGAGGCGATGGCAGGGGAGAGGTCCAATCGTTAAGTGCTTCGCGTAGAACTACATGCGGACACATTTAAATCCACAAGCCGCGCCCTATGACATGTTTCAACTAGGCGCAGTTGCGGGAAATCTGGCTGTTGCCCTGCTTCTCCCCAATTATCTGCCGAAAGTCAAGTGTGTATCTGGTTGGAGGGAGCGGGAATTTTCTTTTTTCTGCGTCGAGATTTCACTAACCGTAAACACAGCAGTATTTATGAATAAGAATTCATTTGTGCCCGCTACGACGGTAGGTACCGTAGTTAACGATCAAGGTTGCGGTGGGAAGATGGTTGGAGCACCTTGAAGTGACCAGGAACCGGGTGGCAGGCAGCAGCCAGTGTATCATTGTCCAGGTTTGTTTTGGTTTTGCGACGAAGAGGTTGCGGCTGATGCGTCATGACGACCGAGCGGCAGCCGGGGAAAGGGAACGGGAAAAACAAGGTACACCTAGGGAGGAAAAGGGCAATAGGAGGGGGGAGGGGTATTTACCGAGGGAACAAAAGGAACGACCGGTTACTTCAAGCTTTATTTAGTCCACCGTAACTGTGTGTGGGATATGTGGGAGAACAAGACAATACAACCTAGGGGGCTGAGGTTGCTCTTCGTTGTTGTTGTGATCGTCTTTCTTTCCCTTAAAAAAGAGATAAATGCATGGCATATATATTGCAGCAGTCCCGATGGAACAAAGGCACCCGCGCGGTTGCCTCTCCCCGCTCTGTTAGTTTGTTCTTGGCTGTGCGTGTACAACGCAGGGGGGGGGCAGCGGGAGGGTTATTAGGGGGAGGGCTCAACGATCGAACTGCTGTAACTACTGCTGTTGGGAAATACACCCGATCCGATCTACAAACGATCTCTGTGTGGAGGACACCTGTCAGGAGTATAACCAACCATGTGTGCACATACAAAGTGGAGGAAGATACACAGGTGGACGTCCACCCCCCTTCCCCACAATGTCGGATATGCCCTCGCCCGCTTGTGGAGGCCTTGTCAAGGTCTCCACAAGGGGACATTTTGGGGAAGGGGGGTCGACCTCCACCTCTGTATGGCTCCCTCGGGGTATCTTGTCACAAGGAGAGTGACAGGAAATGCACCGTCGGAGATGGATATCTTCCGAAGTCCCTGGCCACTTGCCGAAAGTGGAAGCTCGACTCTCCTCTCCCTCTGCCCGCTATGGCCACTCTCTCTTTCTACCCTCTTCTCCTCGTTTACACATCACGAGAGGAAATAGCCTTCCCCTGGCAGTAGGATAATACTGCGACGGCACCGGCCTCTGTCTGCGACAGTAGCCAGTGTCCTCATCTGTCTCCTTTTGTTTCCCTTCATCTGCCGTACGAAAACGCATGTACAGCGATAGCAGGGCGCACAACACACCGATGGACGATATGCCAGCGACACATTTATTTGTTTTCCGGAAACGATCGGCCACAACCCCGTCCCACGTTTTTCACTGCAGGCTCGTTGGTGCCGATCGGATAATAAAAGACAAAAGCAACGTTTCTCTTGAGGTACTGCTGTGTGCCATCAAAACCTATATGCCACGGCCTCACCTTGCGTGACAATATATAATACTATGTAGGTACCGGAACCCAACACCCTCTCACTGTTGGATCACGGGGCGTAAAAGCCCCTATGCATAGATCGGAGTCATTGGCAGACCGTCGCAAGTACTGCTGCTGTGTTGTTAGTGTGTTTTCGTCCTAATTGTTTTGGCGACAGTCTTCCCATTTTTCGTGGTGAGACGTGTACTGCTACACACACTTAGTGGGGTGAATTCATGACGTTGAAGTACGTTGAAGTACATACATGTCCAACAACAACTAACTGCTACAATTTTACCTGTTCCCGAGATGAGCATGATGATAGGGCGATATCTCCATGTTGGCAACAGACTCAACAAGGTAGCAGTTCTCACAAAAAAAACAACGTGCCAATATCTACTGCGGTGTTGTGCTGTGTGCGTCGAGATATATATATCGCCATGTGGAAACGTTGAGGACGCGTACTGCGTAGAATACTGCTATACGGCGGTGGTACAGCCCACACATTTTTGACAGTCGCATGTCTGGGTTCATTTTTTGCAATTAATTCTCTTCCTAAAAATGAACCAACGATGTTTGTCTCGTCTCCTCTACTCCTCCCCACATGTATATCAGCCCCATCTTGTCTTCTCCTTCTTGCACTATGGATGTGTGTGCCTACTCTGCTGTACTTGGATAATCGGATCTTTTTACCGTTCTGACACAACAAAATTCCGTGGTTCATCTTGGTTCACCGGTCTGCCATCTGCTATAGTTTGCGACTTTTCTTCTCTCTGCTCTATCTGATGTGCCACCGAAAGTGCATTTGACCACATTGCAGCGAGGTTGCACGCGTCCATAGCCTCCTGGGTCCGGGCGGGTAGAGCCCAGAGAGAGAAAGAGCTGAAGCTGGACGGAGCTGCTGCTTCGAGATAAGGATGTCCGACAAACTTCACCGGCTAGCGCTGCTGGTATTTTTGTGTTCTTCGGCAGTGGCAGCCGGGCGGTTGAACTCTCCTGCGCTAGAGCTGGTGGAGAATGCGCTCTTGACCACTGCAAAGGACGACTTCAAAGGCCATGTGGGGGCGTTCGAGGCCGCCGCAACTTGGAACGGAGAGAGACTCCGTCACAGCCAAGAAGAAACGCGTGCGCCGCACTTGGCGTGTGCGCGGTACGGTGACGGACACGAGGCGTCCTCTCGGCTGAAGCAGTTCCTTTCGCCGGAAGCAGTGCGGGTTGTGTCCCACTCGGAAGACCACGGGGCTTGTTTCTTTGCATCAGCTTCCCATGCTCAAGCGGCCGCGATAGTGGAGGACCAGGAGCAATTCGGGCTGGAAAACTTCTCGCCTTTTCCATCACCGTTGAAGCTCGCCCCCGGGCTGGTCGACCACACCGAAAGCCACGACGAAGCGGAAGAGGAAGCAAGAAGCAGCGGTCTGGATAGACTGAGTGCGAGACATGGCGCACGGATGCGCAAGCCAAATGTAGAAGGCTTGAGCGTGGAGCTCACGCCTGGCACATTGGCCGCACGATCTTCGGAGGCCAAGTCTTTCATCAACCATATGCTTGGAGATCTGATGTCAGCATCGGTAGACCTCCACTCGACCAACTTCTGGTCTGATCCAGGTATGGATGGCGCGGGGGAACACCTTTCTTCTCCTGCAGGAGCTGTACGAGCGAGAGACTGGAGAAAAGCAGCCAGTGTCGTGCACGAGCTCAGCGAAGCAGCAAGTACCGGCCCTGGAGATATCTGCTCGTGGAACAGAATTTTCGTGCACCACGCCGGAGACGATTCGCTCCTGGTCTCAGGTGGGTGTTCGTATAGTCTCTGCGTTGCATCGCGGTCAGCGCAGCCATTCCGAATTTTCAATTTTTGAGTATTTTTTACGCGGGTTGTACAATATACAGGTACGGCGTGGGACTGTTATAATTCGGCAACGGACACGTTTACAGGAGGTTTCAACCGTTCAACCTTACAAGGTCCGGACGCGGGGTGCGTCACCCCCCCCGCCCTCCGTTGAGAGTGTACGCGTCCATGTCCTTCGTAGAGTGTGGGGTATGGAGTACGCCAAGTCTGAGGGTGCTGCTGCTGTAGATAGGTTCCATGCGCGGAGAAAAGTCAGGATGTCAGGATCAATTTTAGTCCCGCGGCGATTTCCCGCCGCAAGATTGCGTTATTTTTCACAAATTCTTTTGCCCGTTCTTTTCACAGAGTTGAAGTAATTTGAAGTAAAGAGCGGGTGTTTGCCTGCACTTTGCCGGTCGGTGGTGATTTTCAAGTCCCCACCACTACGACATGCGTCTATCAGTCGCTGTATGCTTCGGGAATGCGAGGATGTGGTTGTGGGTTAGACGTTCAACAGCAGTGTGGTGATGCGCGGACGCAGCAAGCTCTCTACTTAAAAACACCGCCAGAATGAAAGCAAGGCAGATGTAGGTTCGGGCTCGGAGCACCGCCGTGTCGCAGTCAGCGTCGCGAATCTTAACTCGTCTCCCGCTTGGGGTCTGGAGCCCGTGACACCGAAGTCGTGAAGGAGAGAGCGGTCCCCGTCAGCGCCGCAAGAGAGAGAGAGAGAGAGAGAGAGAGAGAGAGAGAGCGAGAGAGAGAAAGAGAGAGAGAGAGAGAGAGAAAGAGAGAGAGAGACAGAGTCAATCAGGGTCGGCGTGCGAGGGCGAGCCGAAAATCGTTTTGAGTTTAGAGTTGCGCGAAAGCGCGCCGCTGCTCTGGTGAGGCGCCCAGTCCTGAAGAACCAGCTTGAGTTACAAATATGTACCTCTACAAGTGTCTTTAGTACAGATGCAGGGGACGACAACTTTCAATCCCCGGGGACACGAGAGCGGGGACGACTACGCTGTAACTTAAGATTTCTGGGGCGGAGTCAGGGTGCACTTTTCGTGGCGCTAATTGCTGCAGTCTCTACACTCTGGTAGACTACACTGGTTGTTAAGTTGTCGTACTACACAAATACACACTGTGATGCATGCATGCCACAGGCCTGGACCACCTACTGTTTTCGGGAAGAGGAGCCGGAGGAAGCCACGAGGAAGAGTCGACCGAGTTGCATGTGGCGTGCTTCATGGGCCTTGTGTCCTTCCTCGCCGGCAGGCCGGAGGTCCTGAGAGTGTCTCCCAGGCCTACTAAGCGCGTGCTCAACGCAGCCGCCCGAGGTGTCATCCAAAGCGCCTCGGCCACGGACACGCCACTAACGGACGCGGGCTTAGACGGAACGGGTGAAATCATCCAGGTGCGTGAAGAGAGTTGGGGAGGGCAGGGTGACGACTGCAGGACGTTCTACGAGTTAGTCTACGAGGCGAGCGACAGCGCTCGCTCGTTGTTGCCCATCTTCTCCAATGCATGACCCCCATTTGTTCCTTCCAAGACTGGTTTTGGTTTTGGGGATGGCATGCAACCTGCCATCAGTTTCGCCGCAAGTATTTTTTTCTGGGGTTTTAGACGGACGGCGGTTTAGAAGCGCTCGCCTCCCGTCTCGTTGCACGCCCGGTAATGGAATCACCTCACTCTCTAGCTACAGGTAGGAGAGCCTGGAATCTGTGTGCGGTACTTACCTTGCATGGATTCTCAACACGCGCGCAACTCGTTTCCTACCCCTAGGTAATAGATTCTGGCCTCGACGAGACATCATGCTACTTCATAGACGACAGTGGCGAGGAGGTGGACCACGGGTACTACTTCGATGAGCTGGGACGAGCAGCCGTGTATAGCTCCTCGTACAGTTCAGACGAAACTGCCACCATTTTCAACGGTGGCGATTTTTCTTACTATCCTGAAAGACGCAAGGTGAGAGCGTCAACAACAAGACAAAAGTACCAACCACATACTGGTGAGGTTGGCTGGCTCACACACTATACCCATGAGGGTACATTCCCCTCCGTGTTCATTCTCGGTGAGAGAGTCCTACTGGTTGATGCCTCGCTCTCCCCCGATGACCAATTTTGGATGAAAGCGTCCCCCAGCGAACGAATGTTGGTTTAGGAGAGGCGACCTCAGTTCGTCAACACAAACACCGCGCGGTCACGGTGTGCAGAATCGGTACTCAGCGCCGCAGTCGCGCACGACCGTGTGCCGTATGCTAAGATCGGTTTCTCGCGTTGAGGATCACACACATGAGCACAGTTTACCCAGTTCCCTCATGTTCAGCGTGCACCGCGGTGGAGCAGTCATTGCGCTTTTGATGTCCCGCTGAGCCTGCGGGTCTTCGTTGGCCGGCATGTTCGTGCCGTCGACGCGACGGAAAAAAGAAGCTCGGACGCACCAATTACTTTTTGTCCCCGCTGCGACCGACGTCTTTTCGTCGGTCGACCGGTTTGCACGGTCGGTGCAAATCGAAAAAGGACGTTTACGCACCTTAGTGCACACACACGTGCACCTGTAGAGGGAGCCCGTAGACCAGAAATGATTCGCGTTGCTTGTTCCGCTACAGCATTGATGTCTTCCAAGTGGCCACCCGGTTTGCGCGGTCGACGCTAGTCGAAGACAAGCCCCCCGTGCCTCGATCGTTGTAAGCACTGGGGCCTTCGAAAACGTAGGCGAAGATTTAGCAAGTCTGATGGTGATGACGACAAGTTCAAGTTTTAATGCGGCTCCGAGTGAAAGATCGGGTTCATATAGTTGCGAATGTCCGTTATTTGGACTGGAGAGATACTGTAGTGCTGGGAGAAATTTAAGGGAGCTACAGAGAGAGGTTTGAGGCATGGAATAACCAGGAGAAGACGGTAGCAATAGTGGGGCATAGGAAGTATGCTGAAAAGGCGGGAAGTGATCTCGATGGGATAGACAGGGTAGGGAAAACCTTTTTGAGCCACCTTTGACAAAGTAAAAAGGAGCGATTGGCCATCGGTCATCGGTCCTGTGGGAACAAAATTCTCCGTGCTCTCGAGGACGCGTAGTCAATGGTCTAACCGCTAATGCATGCAATATACGAGCACGCCCCCCCCCCCGCGCGCGCGTGGTTCTGGACCCCGTTCGCTATAAAACACACGCTCGTCTTGCTTCTTGCCATTTCTGACAGATCATCCAGTACATCGATCTGGTCAATCCCGACTCGCCTTACTCTGCATTCTACACGTCCCAATCCAGCTACATTGGCTACTTTCTTCCGCCGGATCAATTCGGAGAGGATGACGAGGCGAGCGTCGCGTTGCGGTCACGATTTGGCTCAGTACTGTTCTCCATGGTCGGGTTCCTCTCCAAAAATGAACCATGACGATTAACGCCGTCGCTTCACTTGCGTTCTAGAACGTTCCAATCATGTCATATGCTTTTTCTCAGTCGTCGTCGGTTTTCTTTTGAGCTGTCGAGGTAAAGAAGGAAGGACCCGTCCCAAGCGAGAATTGGAAGTTTTCGCGGCTGTCGTTTGTTTCCCTTTGTCTTTCCGTTGGTGATAACCCTCTTGTTTTTCCGGTTGCTCTTGCTTGTGGTGTTTTCCTCAGGCCGGACATGGCACCCATACTGCAGGATCGGCCGCGGGGGCTACGCTCAACGACCCGGCGGAGACGATCACGTGCAACGTAACGGACACGCTGAGCTGCGTGGGCGCCTGCATTGACCTTTTGGATGCCACGGATGACTTGGTGTCTATCTCGTCCCAAACCGATGGTACAGATCTCGACCGTCTTTGTCCGATGTACGGGTGTGACAACTCGACTGATACCACTTGTTTGAGCGACGATGTGCCTGAGACCCTGTCGAATAACGGAGGGATGGCTCAGGGTGCAAAGCTGGCGATCTTCGACGTGTTCTACGGCGGCTACGATGCGTCCTCTAGCATAGGGAACAATCTATGGGAAGTCTGCACGGAGGCCGGATGCAAGCTGCATTCCAACAGCCTAGGCGCTGATTTCGAGTGTTCGATTGCCTCCTGGGACATCCTTAACGATCAGTTCATGTACGAAAATGCGGAAAACCTCCTCATCTTTGCGGCTGGTGAGGCGTGTCTGCGTGAAATGTCTGCGTGAAACTGCTGTGCAGAGGTTTTTGGGCATGATGAGATGGGCCCGCACCACGACTGTTGCCCAGCGGATGCCCTGGTGACACCGAGCCACTGCTAGAGCCTGCTGTTGCCTGCAGTTGTTCTTGAGGCGTTTCGCGGTAATTCCCCCCGTCACATCTGGAGACGAAGTGTGACGTGGTTGGAACTCGAGAATGCGCGTATGATGATCGTTAGACTCGTTGGGCTCGGCACTACGCACTATTCTTCATTGGTGCTACCCACTCCAACGCTTGTCGCCTGATGGGGCAAGTTTCCCAAAAAACCACGGCGGTAATAACACAAGTGTGTACAGCTCACCGCGGCGATGGTCGAAATGTTGTGTGCGGCTGGAAACACTAGATTAGCGTTGTAAAACGTTGCTGATCTGACCCATCAACTTCAATTTTCATCGCGATGAATGGATGACACAGGTAACGAGGGCGGGATTGAGCGCTCAACGTGCACGATAAATACCCCGGGCATCGGGAAAAACTCCCTAGCGATCGGGGCTTCGACATCGGGCGACACCCGCGTCATTTCCACGGTCGGGGCCACGGGCATCGACACCGTGGCCGAATTCAGTTCGTGGGGGTTCACAACCGATGATCGAATTAAGCCGGAGGTCGTGGCTCCAGGAGACTCGGTGAGCAGGAGCAGCAGTTTCCTACGTCTTCCTTGGGCCCACCAAGAGCGTCAAATTTGTCCGTAGATCGTGGTTTTGGAAGGAGAGGAAGCGGCGCGCGCGCACGCGTGTACGCCCGCCTCGCAAGAGCGACGTCATGACTTTGGATTTTTTATCTTCATGTGGGGGTGCGGGATTAAGTTGACGGTTTGTCCTCTTCACGTGCTGTCACGCCCGGTTAGAATGTTGTGCCTCTTACCCACCGTGTGTTGCCGTGCATTGCGTCGGACAGGTTTATTCTGCAGCCAGCGACGGCACGGACACACATTCGTGTAGGCTTTGGGCGTACGAAGGAACCTCGATGTCCTGCCCCATTGTTGCGGGTGCCGCGGCTATGGTAAGGGAGCCCTGCGGTCGGATCTGTTACGGCTGAGGCGTTCCGAGCTTTTCACATCTTCGTCGTGCCTGCTCGTTTCGGTATTGTTTGTAAGACCTCATTGTTGGCCGCGGGGAGAAGACTTTGGAGCAGTAGTTGACATGATATTCTTAGATCTCACGACGCCCGAGAGCATCGGCTCACGCACGACGTGTGAGACTGATCAAGGCTTGCAGGCCAATCACCGAAACGTACCAAGTGTCCCGGCGGACATGACACCCCATCGTTTTTCGGCGCATGGGCAAGGGTTGTGCGCGCCGATGCTTCTACGTTTGTCGTGCCCTGCGTAGTACCATGTTGCTGGCTCTAACTGATTCTGAATGGGGCTCTACCTACTCCCAGATAAGGCAATACTTCGTGGATGAGACCTTCTACACGGCGGACGTGACAGCCAGGGGCTTCTGTAGCGATGGCTTCATATGCGAGGGCTTCTCGCCGTCGGCGGCAACGGTCAAAGTGAGCGCTCGCGTCTTTTTCCACACTACCGTAAGAATCGGAACTTTTGCATGGCTTGGAGAGCTGCACCATACAGGGTACTTGCTTGTAGCGTTGGTTGGATTGATTCATCCAGGCGACCCTCTCCTACTCTTTTTTGCAGGAGCTCGTCATTCGATGCTTCAATACAACCGATATCATGGTTTATTCGACCCAGTGGCATGACCACGTATTGCGAGGGCCTGCCTTCGACTCGAAAAATAGTGGGTACAGCAACCAAACGGCAACACGGACAGCCCAGAGGAAACGCACGTGCCCAGAGAGAGAGCCCTCACCCCATCCTTTGGAAGCAGACCTCTTCTCCTCCCCCTTGCTGCTGCTGCTCCTCTTTGGCAGGCTCTGCTGATCAACAGCGCAAACCTGATGGGAGGAAGCAGTGAGCCCGATGGCTTCCGCGGCTTCGGACGTGTACACCTGGAGGCAGGGATGCCGCTGGAGGGAGAAGGAGACTTGGTTCTTTTCGTGGCAGACGCCCTCGACACATCCATCGCCGGGGGCACCCTCGAAGAATACTTGTTCGACGTGGACGCCGACGCTGGCCTGGATCTGCGTGCCACGTTGTCCTGGATAGACCCTCCCGCCACGGCAACATCGGCTGTTCAGTTAGTGCACAATCTGGATCTGGTCGTGGTGTCTCCAGACGGAACGACGTACCGCATGTGGGGATCTGATACGACGGACAATCGCAACGTGAACGAACGAGTGATCGTGGACGCCACTGACGTGGTGACAGGCACCTGGACCGGTGGGTCGTCTGATATTTTGTTTTCCCCACAAGAAGGACCGAACTATGTGGAGATGCCACCGGTAGCCTCTCTCTCTCTCTCTCTCTCTCTCTCTCTCTCTCTCTCTCTCTCTCTCTCTCTCTCTCTCTCTCTCTCTCTCTCTCTTCTTCGTCAGTTAACGACTATGCACCTCGCTCGTCGCGATTACTTGTCACATGTTTATGATGGTCAACAACGAACAGGATCAATCCTGACGTGTTTCCCCCGCCCATACAATCCCAAACCGTTTTTCCAGTGTGGGTTTGGGCAAACAACCTCGTAACCGACTCCCAGAGCTACTCACTGGTCGTCAACGGGGCCATCAGCCCAGGTACAGGTGAGGGGGCGAGCGGAAGCTCCTCCTTCGAAGTTTCCTCGTCGGCCACTAGCGCCAGCTCGGAAGATGGGACGGGAGCCGGGGTGACCGGCGGATCGCTGGTCGCTGCCCCGGCCGCCGGGTTTTTAGCAGCGGTCGTCGGCGCTTGTGTTGCTGCCATGGTTGCCGCCGGTGTCTTTGTGGCGTGAGGAGACCACGCCTCCAGTGAATTTCGTCGAATTTCTTAACTTAGGTGTGGTATGGACCATCGGATCATCCTCTTGACAGGTCATCCATGTGTCGGAAAAGTAAACTAAAGGGACCGATTTTTTTACTAGCATGTTCTCTTAGTGTTCACCAACGGGTTGGAATTGTCAGCCCATTTTGCGTAGCCTGTTCGTGTTTTTATCAGAATTTGTTGTTCTTCGTACTCTACATAGTTTAGTTGATTCCTCGATGTGCCCTATGCAGAAATGAGCGCGGTGAAGCAAGAAAGGTCTAACTTTGAAGCCAATATACCTTGTAGAAGTAGAAAATATTAGTATTCAATCATGGCAAGTACTACCCGGTCGATATCATACCCCAGTCGAAGGGGTGTGTTGACGTCATTGCAATGAATGGGGATCGATTGGCCGATATATATGCGCAGAGAGACGGGACATCTGATGCTACGTGCTTGGCGGACATTCAGTAAAAGGAATGCTGGAAGGATGAGAAAGTTGGCGACATAAACGAGTTGAAGCATGATACAGAGCTCGTCAGTCTGAGAATTAACTACAAGCGGAGGGTGGGTGGGTGGGTGGTAACAGCACTGGACGATTTAGACGTACTCGGAGGTATGCTACTCGTACGTTGTACGTACGGGGACCGGTGTTGAATCGACGTCTGTTTGCAGAGGAAGCTCTCTCATGACGACTTGGTCATCATGTCATCTTTGTTCAGATTTCAGATTTTCGATACAATTACTACCAAGTGAGTGGTGGGTCGGGGCGTTTTTCGTGCGGTAGACGGTTACTTCTCGTTTTTTGGTTAAAAACTACAATAGACTAAACGGTGTCGATAAAGCCAATCTTAAGATTGGTAGAATACTACCATGTTTTACGTTACTGTACATTTTGCAAAAAGTGAACAAACTCCTTTCTTTGTGTGTGGTCGAAGATGGGACTGCGTTATGTACAAGCCCAACATGCCACCATGCACAACATACTGCTGCTGCCTTCACCTGTCGCCACCCTTCCACGTCTACCTGTCCATGACACATGCTGCCAACTGATGCGACAACACCTGGGCACAACACGGACACAGGGAGTACTCCCCCTGCCCATACACACACCGTCAAAATTGCTTACAAACTATACCTCTCATTCCTCCCATGCCAAATACAAGTGATGTAGCATGCATGGAATGATAAACCCTGTCTTTACTTGTGGTGCATGAAATGATAAACCCTGTCTTTATTTGTGGTCCACGCTTCCTACAAATGGGAGAGGTAGCCATACCTTCTGCATAATAACACCCACATGTATGTCGGTGATGAAACCTCAACCACACGCCTCTATCGGCGACCACGTCTGGAGGCAATGATGAGAGAATGTTCTCCCGTGCTCTTTGCACATCTAACGACACGAAAATGCATAAAAAACGGTAAGAAAATGGTGAGACCAATCCCGTGTGTCCGCACATACTTCGAAATGTGTCCGCACATATGCGTACTCCGTACATATATATGCGTACCACACTGCAGAAAATACGTTTGACTGAAAATACGTTTGAAAACTGAGGGAGTTTGCATACCCTACGACTAACAGGGTGCCACACACAAAACGCCCGACTACCCAACCGTAGTAGTACCCAACACCTTTCTTCTTCTGCACCTTCCCAACATAACATATATGAGACACACAAGACAGCTACCAAACTGTTTTGTTGAGCCTGTTACCCGCAGGGGAGATGTCCCTATATATATATATGCTGTCAGGGAAATCGTAGACATACAGGTACTTTCTGACGCTATGAATTCATTGCTAATAATCTGTCTCTGACTTTTTTTATGATAGAGATGGATTCGTTGTGTCATATTAAGAAAAATAAACAAAAAAGTTAGTGTAGGCGACAAAAAAGAAAGTTTTTTCGTCGTTCGATACACGATGTGACGGTTTATTATGGTGATGGTGCCAAGAAGGATGAAGTTGGACGTGGGGGCAACTTCCTTATTCATTCACTGTCCGTGCGCACGTTTGCTTTTTTCTTTGTTTTTTTCTCTGGACGTCTTGTTCACGTGGTGAGTACTCTGTCCGTGCACAACACGCTCCTCGTGTGTAGAGAGAGGAGTTGGGTGCGTTCCTGTGAAATAAATGTGATTTCTTCGCATTAATTTGACGCATTTTGATTTTCAATGCGATTTCACCCTTGCTTGCTTTTGGGTACCCAGCATATAATTTACCAACATACCGTCCGTATGCACAGAAACTTCGTCACAATCCAAAAGTGACGCATTCATTATTCATCTCCATCCACAGCATGCGGCCGTGGTAAGGGTTAGGGTTAGGGTTGGTTGGGGTGAGCAACCTCCAGCCTATAGCTATAATAGCCTGCTGCTCGCGTGAGGAACCTACAGCCTTTTATTGCTACGTTCAACATCGGCTAGATAGACCTATACCTATCAAACAAAGTGTAACCAAACCTCGTTTTAGCCGTCCCGCCTTGGGGCAGGCACCTCTGCACACCCTACATAGGTTCCTGACATAATTTCGGGATCGAGCCTGAGTCGACCCCCCCGCGAGAGAACTCGAGGTGGGGGAGGGAGTGTGTGGGAATAATGGGAATTTGGTGCTGGTACTTCGAAGCTTCGGAAGTGCCTTCTTTCGCAACCAGTATAGATAGAAAGGTTATTCCAGCATCATCTATTATCTATCTCATAATCTTGATTGTCGCCACAGCACACGGCCCGATCGTCGACAACAAAAACTGATTGATGCAAGAGAGTCCAGGAGCTCCTCTCCAACTAATGCAGTTCTTCTGCAGTCTATAACGTAGATGCACTGCTCGCAGTTGTTGTCTGTCCCCCTTCGCCGAGCAGTGCATTGATTGCGCGAAAACTTGAGATAGATTCCGTCGTCTTTCTTCGAATTTGTAATCTCCTGCGAAAATCCACAGTCTCGAACTTTCTCATCAAATCTCACCCCACCCTGGACTCAGAATACTTCATCACGTACGCACGCGGTTGGCGACAGCCTTTCAGAGTTCACCCAAGGCGCCGATTGATCGCATGCATGTGTAGGTGCGTGTATACCTCACTCAGCAGGTTGTTTGTTTTGTTTTTTTTTGTGAAGGGGTGAGGGAGAAATTGCGAGGAAAGTTTACTGCGCGAGGAGTGTGGCCCCGTTTTTTTTTTTTTCTTAATATGACACAACGAAACCATTCTTGACTAGCAGCCACCCTTCAGGGGGTCGCTAAAACAGAATTATTTTCCAGTCCTGTGCGCGCGAATTCGGCCGATCGCGTTCATCCATCACGCCGTTTGTCCGAAGCAAAAGCGCTTCTCACGGAGGAGGCGCGGGGTACATAGTGGCAAGGGGAAACAGAACAAGGGCGCTGTTGGGAACGGACCGGGGAGTACTGCTGCTTTGTAGCCTTACCCGCCGGCGAAGTAAAAAATGTTCGACGACAATCAATTCCAGCGAGCTGCGGTTGTTGTGGCCTGTGCATTTTGGGCTGCATTTTTGGCCCCTGCTTGGGCAGCGGCAGCCGGTAAGTGGAACCCTCCTTCGCTAGAGCTCGTGGAGAATGGGCTCGCCACGACAGCAAAGGACGACTTCAACGGCCATGCGGGGGCGTTTGAGGCCGCCGCAACTTGGAGCGGAGAGAGACTCCGTCACAGCCAAGACGAAACGCGTGCGCCGCACCTATGTTGTGCCGAGTACGGACAAGGACGCGAGACCTTCTCGCGGCTGAAGCAGTTCCTGTCGCCCGAGGCAGTACGGGTGGTGTCTCACTCTGAAGACCACGGGGCTTGTTTCTTCGCGACAGCTTCCCATGCTCAAGCGTCCGCGATAATGGAGGACCAGGAGCAGTTCTTGTTGGAAAGCTTCTCGCCTTTTCCATCAGCGTTGAAGCTGGCCCCGGGGCTGGTCGACCACAGCGAAAGCCACCACGTGGAAGAGGAACCAAGAAGCGGGCTGGAGCGGCTGGGTGCGAGACACGGGGGAACGATGCGCATGTCAAATGTGGAAGGCCTGAACATTAAGCTTACCCCTGATACCCTACCGGCACGCTCGGCGGGGGCCGAGTCGTTTATCATCGATTTGCTCGGAGATCTGATGTCGGCATCGGCAGACCTCCACTCGACCAACTTCTGGTCTGACCCGGGTATGGCGGGGGGAGAACACCTCTCTTCTCAAGGGGGCGCTATTCGAGCGAGAGATTGGAGCAAAGCAGCCAGTGTTGTGCATGAACTCAGCGAGGCAGCAGGCACGAGCCCTGGAGATATCTGTTTGTGGGACGAGGTCGCCTTGCTCCAAGCAGGAGACGATTCGCTCTTGGTCACAGGTATGTGGCACGCAACAGTCTGTCGATGGGTGATCCTCCTGTACCGTATATGACACAAGATAACACACCCCCTCGACCAATTTTCAATGCTCGATCACGCCACGGCGAAGAGGATTCATAAATGAAACAATACATTTTCGGAAAGCTCTTGACGAGACAGCTTCAACGCCACAAAATTCGGCGCTTTGGCTCTTTCTGCTGTTGAGAAATCGAGATTTGAAAATCGGAGGGGGTGTGTCATCTTGTGTCATTCACGGTGGTATCGGAACAGAAAACAGACTCGAAATGAAGCCCAGTACCCAGCCGTTTTCCCTCCACTCACGGCAAAATGACTCCAACACATACCCTCGACCGTGGTTCTATGTACTCCCCAAACCCAAAAACAATTAATTAAATCAAACACCCCCATATATATATAATTTCGCTCAACGATCAATGCGTTCTATTTCCAAAGATAACAATACATTGTACGTGTCTACGATGTTCACAACTGGCTCACAGGGTCACTGCTGAGCCTTGGCTGGCCCATTGAATACAACACGAGGAGAATATATATATGGGGGTGTTTGACTTAATTAATTGTTTTTGGGTTTGGGGAGTGTGTTTGATTTAATAAATTGTTTTTGGGTTTGGGGAGTACATATATATATATCTACTGTATTGCGTCCCCAAACTTGAAAAGTAAAAATATCCAAAACAAAAACAAACACCCCAAACCCTATCAAGGTAAGGGTATTCTATCTCGAACGGGTATTCTTTCTGGCGTCCCCAAACCTGAAAAGTAAAAATATCCAAAACAAGAACAAACGACACCCCAAACCCTATCACCCCCAAACCCTATCAAGGTCAGGATATTCTAATCTCGAACGGGTAGTCTTTCTGTGCTGGTATATACGAAGTATTTATTTTTCTAAAACTTCTGTGGGACATTTCATCGTGCCCAAAACGCCACAGGCACGGGTCGTTTTGCGAAGAGCTATTTTTTCTGTGTGTGGTTTTCGGTGTACAGCAGTAGCGTGGTGCAAGACCGACGCGCGAAGTCGTATAGCAGTCCTTCCAGCCATTTTTTGCGACGATTGGACGCAGGGGATACATGCATACAGATGCCGAGTGACTGGGGTACCATGGTGGCTTGCAGAATGCAATTTACAAGCTCTGCTGCAGCAAACTGCAGGCGTATGTGTCCACAGATCAAGCGTTTTCTAGTTTTGCATTGCGACCACGGGTGGAGTACACGAGTGAGTACAGTAATCGGCACAAATGCACTGTGATAGAAGTCAAGACAAAAAAAAAACATTTGAGGAGCAAATCGACTCCGCCACTTAGTGGAATTTCTTCTGATTTTATTCTACTGACGAACTCACTGCTGTGGCTTGTCTTGCACGTACGATGAACAACCACGTATGACCACAGGGGTTAGCGGGTTGGCGACCAAACCTCGAGTACCCCATCGCTTATCTCTCTCGTTGTGAAGGAATGTGAGTTCGAAAGGTCAACCCAGGCTAGACTTCCTATGGGACAGACAGGCCGTTCTTCAACAATCCCGGTTGTAGTGGCGATCCAAAACGTGGCCAACCCTCTACAGTAACCTTAGGCATGTCTCTGCAGCGTGGTTGTGGTTGTTGATGTCGTTGTTGTTGCTGTTGTCTTCACATTAAAGACCGTTCCGGTCTCCGCTCAACACCTTGTACAATCTGTACTCTGGTCCGACTGACGCAGACGCCTTCCGTGGCCACAAGCCAACTACTCAAAGAGGGATATATGCCTTTATATGCCTTTCTAGAACAAAAACTCAAAATGCTAACAAGCCGAGTCAGCATTTTTCCCAGTTCTAGGCTATGCAAACTTTTACCATCAAGGGGACCCGCGGCTTGGGAGATAGCAAGGCAGGTTCTGAGGAGAGACATCACACAGGATATCACGATATCACACAGCGTACCACCTCACACAAGCATGGTACCACGTGCGTTTCACAGCGGAGTCTATGGCGACGACTACGGTGCAATACACAAAACATTTGAGTGCTGTGGCCCCGTAAAGTGTCCCTATTTGGGCGTAATAAACTTGGCTGCAACCACAGATGATCCTCTCTCGTGGTGCTGTCTACTGGGACCTGCGACACTTTATTGCCCGAAAGCTCCCGTGTGACCTTCCTACTGTGTGCCCTGGCTGATACGTTAGAAATGTACGCCGAAAGTGAGTCGACAGGTGCCATGCACACAAGCCAACACCCAAACAGAGTAGTATCTGGTAGAAGTTAAGGACCAACACTCCAGCGGTTGTATGCGGGAGGACTACACACGAAACAATTTTTCTTTCTGTTGTTCCTGAATAGCAGTTGCTCGTCCGGTGACCTATTGTGATCTAGGCTTGGACCACCTGCTGTTTTCCGGAAGGGGAGCCGGAGGAAGCGACGAGGAAGAATCGACCGAGTTGCATGTGGCGTGCTTCATGGGCCTTGTGTCATTCTTCGCCGGCAGGCCGGAGGTCCTGAGAGTGTCGCCCAGGCATACGAAGCGCGTGCTCAACGGAGCCGCACGAGGCATCATCCAAAGCGCCTCGGCCACGGACACGCCACTAACGGACGCGGGCTTAGACGGAACCGGTGAAGTTATCCAGGTGCGAGTAGTTTCTCCAGGGCTGGCGACTCTTGCGGTTGACAGCAGCACATGTTTTCGAGGAGATACGCATGTCAGCTGTGTCATTCTCACGAAAGAGCACGCGTGGTGCCTACACTGGCGAACGCTGTTGCTCGAGGTTTTGAAAACGTCCATGCTCCCACGCATGTGATGCACCTTTCCTTCTCAGCCATTTTTCTAGTTTTCTTTCGCTAAATGCCTTCCTTGCCAGGTGCAGTTCTGTTGATACATCGTTGACCATCCTGCAGTCACAGTTTCAATGCCCTCCAAACGATGGTTACTCTTGTTCAATTTTGTTTTTCTGAAACAGTGATCGTTCGTCAGAATTCTGAAACTGTCCGCAGTTGTGTCTCCACGCAGACTCCGCCATTCTATCTTCCGCAAGCGCATGCTTCCGCTTTGATCGGCTGGTCCTCTGTCGAGCGCCCCTCTTCGCAAACTGCGTGCCAGATCGGGTGTTACCGATGCGCCCGGTCCCTACGCAGGGAGGGCGGAGCTGTTGGAGGGTATGGCCTTTGCGTCCCCTTTCACTTCCGCACACAATCAACGTTCTACCCCCCGAACCCGCTTGCCGATTCCGCTCGACAGGTCGTTGATACCGGCCTTGATGAGACATCGTGCTTTTTCATCGACGACGGTGGCGAGGAGGTGGACCATGGGTACTACTTCGAAGAGTTGTTTGTCGGCTCCGCGGGCTCCTCGCAACTGATCTATTTTCCCGTTTTCGATGAAGGAGATTTCACTTACGCCGAGGAGAGACGGAAGGTGATCGCGGCGTGGAAACCGCTCGTATTTTGCCCGAGACGTTCCCCTGAGTCAGCCCTGAGTCAGCCAGGGGTGGACCAGTAGTGTTCTACGGAAACACCCCGACCGAATATCCGCAAAGCAATGACAAGGTTGAGGGAAACATATCCAGCACCTCTGCCCTAGAGGTCTTTATGGCAGCCAACCAACATCCGCTTGCATGGGCAAAGACTCAATACCAGCCATACCAGCCATGGGTGTAGTACCGGCTTGGCGCTCCGTTGCCATCGTTGACTACTGCCTGCAACTTGGTGGCGGCGTCCCCTAGCGTGGGTTGCCTCTCGTCTACCCACCACCAGCGCATCATTTTTTTTCTTGGTTGTTTTTTGCCGCTTCCACTCGTCACTCGTCACGCTTCCCCACAGGTCATCCAGTACATTGAGCTGGTCAACCCCGACTCAGACTACGTGGCATTCTCTACCACCGAGGGCGGCGTGTATCCCTTCCTCCCGCCGGACGAGTTCGGACAGGATGACTCGGTGGGTTTTCGTACAGGAGGGGTGGGACACTCAGACTCAGTTTGACCTCGACAAAAGGCCAAATCAGACTAGCGTAAGAACGGCGCACTAGTCGAATTTTCCGTTTTTTTGCTGGTTCGGTGGCGGAGTGTTTCTTGACTTGGACAGCGGCTAGAACTGGGGCATCAACATGTCGCTCTAACCAGAGACTTGATGCTGTTGACACTCTGCCACACACTGCAACGAGTTTCGCTCGGGAACTACAACGGACACGTTTGATGTTGCCTGGAGTTTGACTCTACAGTGATCTCGAGGTCTATAGCAGTCGGTTCGTGTTCGTGGTCCATATACTGTACGGAGAAAGTACGCTTGTTCGGTTGTTGTTCCGTTTTTGGTAGAATGTTCTTGCGATGTGCTTGGCACACGGTGGTCTTATTATGGAATGTTCCTCTTTAGGCACCCCTTGCATCATTTTTCTCCCCGCCAGTTTCAAGGATTTCGTTCCGACTTGCTGGCGTACGCCTACGTACGTTTGTGCTGCCGTTGCTCTATTCTCTTTTGTGACTCAGGCCGGGCATGGCACACATACTGCAGGATCTGCCGCGGGGGCTACGCTAAACGACCCCGCGGAGACGCTCACGTGCAGCGGAGATGAAACGCTGGGCTGCGCGGGTGCCTGCATTGACGAGTCTGAGACTACAGACGACTTGGTGTCGTCCGCCATTCAAATGGCGTTGCCCGATTTGGACAGGCTCTGCCCAATGTATGGATGCGATGATTCGACTGACCCGTGCCTCAGCGACGAGGTAGATGAGACCCTGACGAACAACGGAGGCATGGCCCAGGGCGCGAAACTGTCCATCTTCGACGTGTTTTTCGAAGTCTTCGGTCTGATCGAAGTCTTGGGCAACGGGGTGTGGGAACCATGCCTGGAGGCTGGATGCAAAGTACACTCACTTTCCCTCGGCGGGGATACTCTGTGCACTCCTGGAGAATCAGAGATCCTGTATGATGACTTCATGTATGAGGTATGATCCGTAGCTCCCATAAGGGCATTTGAAGTGCAGGCTTGATTGCCCCAGCACGTTCTCTGTGCAGCTTTAACCTTCTCCACCGAAAGTTTTGTAGCTTCACGAACGGGCACACCAACTGTTTGGGTTGCCAGCTAGAGGAACGGGCACCGTTCATTCCTTTTGATCGCGGGCCTGTGCGCAACAGGAAAGAGCAGCATCTCCCCCCCCCCCCCCCCGCCCGCGCGCTTTGCATGTGCAGCACGCCCTTTTGCATCCACGGGTGCGCCTTTTGCAGTTTCCCTGCGTCATACAATTTGGTTCCGAGCTGGGAGCGCTTGTGGAACGCTAACTCTTCGCGTTTGATGTTCTTCTTGTTCCCTACCGCAACAACCGCCGTGTAGAACCCAGAACACCTTCTGATCTTTGCCGCCGGTAACGACGGCGAAACCGAGCGCTCGGTGTGTACTATGGCTAGTCCTGCCATCGGCAAGAATGTTCTGGCCGTAGGGGCTTCAACATCTGGTGACACACGCGTCATTTCTACGGAAGGGGGAACGGGCATCGACATGGTGGCCGATTTCAGCTCGTACGGGTTCACGACTGATGGCAGAATCAAACCGGAGGTATTGGCGCCAGGAGACACGGTGAGTGTGCTATGAATACCTTTGCCCGAGAACCATCTGTTCTGCTCAAGTGTACCCTCGCAGAGTGCGCAGCAGAGACGTGCACGTTCCGACGTAATTGCCAGAATTAAGCGACGTGCTCGATAGCAACATTGTCGAGGGGATGAAGCAACTTGACAGGTTTCCTATGCATGTTGCTCAACGAATCGCCCTGGCCATGACAAGCACTTGTGCCCACATCCAACTCATTCATCGCCCGCAAAATGTTGCTCGGCAGGTCTACTCCGCCGCCAGCGATGGCACGGACTCACACTCGTGCAGGCTGTGGGCGTACCAAGGAACGTCGATGTCCTGCCCCATTGTTGCGGGTGCATCGGCTATGGTGAGTAGTACAAGGTCGGGAGAATTCCTTCGGTGGGCAGGTTTAGCCCATGGGCTCGGTCTATAGTGGAGCAGGCAGTGGGTCTCTCGACGTCGTTGGAGCGCGTCCCCTATTTTTGCTCCCTGAACGCTTGCGAGGATTAGCGCAGTTACTAAATTTTTACGTTGTCATATTCCGACTGAGACCGCTCAACAAAGGCAACAACTCTCCGTGGATACATAGTACTGGACCAAGAGCTTCCCGAAGAGTGATGTACCGTACTTCTTTGGTAGAGTACATTGCGTCGGTCGCACGGGAAAGGATTGTGTAGGTCGAAAATGGTACGATTTTCGTGCCGTACGTAGGGATATTTTGTTAACCGTCACTGGCTCTGTTCGGGCCTTTTGCCGACTCCCAGGTCAGGCAGTACTTCGTGAATGAGACCTTCTACACGGCGGACGTGACATCCAGGGGCTTCTGCAGCGATGGCTTCATATGCGAGGGCTTCTCGCCGTCGGCGGCAACGGTCAAAGTGAGCGCCCGCGTCTTTCCAAAGTATCGTAAGAATCGAAGCTTTTGCATGGCTCGGAGAGTTGGCACCACACATCGATTGATTCCTCCGGGCGACCCCTCTTTCTGCTCTTTTCTACAGGCCTTGCTGATCAACAGCGCCAACCTGATGGGAGAAAGCAGCCAGCCCGACGGCAACCGCGGCTTCGGGCGTATTCACCTGGAGGAAGGGATGCCGCTGGAAGGAGAAGGAGACTTGGCGCTCTTCGTGGCAGACGCTCTCGACACATCCATCGGCGAGGATACCGTCGAAGAATACTTGTTCGACGTGGACGCCGACGCTGGCCTGGAGTTGCGTGCCACGTTGTCCTGGATCGACTACCCTGCCACGTCAACGTCGGCTATTCAGTTGGTGAACGACCTGGATCTGGTTGTGGTTTCTCCGAACGGGACAGTTCACCGGATGTGGGGGTCGGATGTCACGGACAACCGCAACGTGAATGAACGAGTGATCGTGGACGCCGACGACGTTGAGACGGGCACTTGGACCGTGCTCGTGTATTCAAACAGCCTTGTAACCGACTCCCAGAGCTACTCTCTTGTCGTCAACGGAGCCATCAGTGCGGGGACCGGCGAGGGGGCGAGCGGCTCCTTCGATAGCTCAAACCCGTACTTTACGGGTGACTTGGCGGGCTCTGGTGGCGGCCCGCATTCCGTCACGCCCCCTGCACGTTTGTCGATGATCCTCGGCGCAACTTTGGCAGCCGTTGTTGCCGCAGGTGCCTGCATGATGTAAGGAGACTACCGTCCGACTTTGTTCTTTGAAAACAATGGAGGACTGTTCGGACTGCCGAGGATCCACCGCAGGCCCGTTTAGCTATGCCGGGTATGCCTTTGATGATGCCGGGTATGCCTTTGATGATGTGGGGTGTATTCGTAGGCATTGTACGTCGGAGATAGCCTGCTCTCCTCCGGACCGTTTAAGCGTATTTGGAGTACTTGCGATCGCGGATCATCTTCGCGGTTCTTGTGTGGACAAGGTAGCTTAGTTTTGTTGTGTTCTGTAGTTTTGTTGTGTTCATTTGTGCCGGAGAGATGCTTGACTGACTCTCTACCCGAACACGTTCAAAAACCATACCAGTAGTTTATTGTTTGAAGTAGACGTTTCCTCGAGAGCGCAGAAAGTCCTCAGTCATGTGTTTTCAGTCCTTCCCAGCTGTGCCCGAGACAAAGCGTGTGTTTTCCCTTCGGTATATACAACGGTACAGCAGTGTTTGGTTTTGTGAAGTCATCATGCGTCCCATGCTGATGTATGCATGAAAAGAACGAGATATAATCGCCGGAAAAGCGTGTATATACTGCTGTACAAACCATCACGTTGTTGTGTAACATATCCCCCGTACCGTAACCGGCCTCCATAGTTTTGCATGGTCTAGCCGCCATCTCGTGACGGAGTGCCGCATGCAGTTACGCACCGTGGCAAGGGCGTGGAGGGGATATAGCCTCGGCGGCCTTTCACGACGCAGGAGGACTACTGGACCTACCTGGTGGTGTTACGCCGTTCTGTAGAGCCCGAATCAATCCACTAGACTACACAGTCGGCCGACTGTATACGTACTCTTCTTGACTGTAAGATTCTATGAAAGTTACATTGTCGTGGGGTTCGAATGCCCAGAAACTTTCACTTCCGAGTAGGGTCACTCCTCTCGCGCGCTGCTATCCATCCAATCTGTTTTTCGCTTCATCATCACTCGATGCCCACATCCTGCAGAACGTTCCAGGGTCTCAGGTCTCGAACGAGTCTATGCGTCACCAGTACTCTGCCCGAGAGTATATCCAAGGATGGCGTCAGGAAAATCGACTTGAGGTGCACCTCAAGTTTCCAGGCTGGGTCCCGAACCCAGGACTGACTTTTATAGGCTTTTTGGTCTACTGATGACCGCTGTCAACATGTAGTACAGCAGTTGCTGATGCTGTACTCGGTTTTACGTTGTAGAACTGTAGTGTACGGGGTGGGTCACGACGGCCGTTGTGCTCCAGTCGAGAGCCAGAAGTTCCAGTTAGATCTACTGCTGCCGTGCTCTGTTTCTTCACCACCTGGTGACGGCCATGCTACTAGAGCTCCCTCCCGGAATGAACTCCTGGGTGAGAGATTTGAAGCCCTGACACCTGACACCGCAGAAGCTACAGATACGAAACTAAGGGCAACAGTAGTCTACTGGTACATAGTACCGTTGTCCGTTGTGCCGCTTGTTTGTGTGTGTTTTTTCGTTCGAAATTGCAGAGGTTCTGGGAATTTTCTGGACGCTTGAAAAACACGCCGCGTCTCTCCGGAGGTCGCTCGTTTCTGTTCTGCATTCAATTGCTGTACGCTGTAGTACCTCGGCTCTGTGGGCTGGCACAACTGCCACAGCTAACCCACAACTCTGGGGGCCATCCCAAAAAGACAGAAAGGACGCAGGCAAGCAAACGAGCCACCTAGTCTTTGATGTACAATGTGTATGTGATGGTGCTAAAGACAATTCTCTTGGCGACGTCAGCCCGCACCTGGGCCGGTGCTTCGGCAGGATGGTCGTTGTCGGGAAAGAGCTTGCCTTACCCTTCGCTAGAGCTAGTGGAGAATGCGCTCTCGACAACTGCGAAGGACGATTTCAACGGTCATGCGGGGGCGTTTGAGGCCGCCGCAACTTGGAACGGAGAGAGACTCCGTCACAGCCAAGACGAAACGCGTGCGCCGCACCTATGTTGTGCCGAGTACGGACAAGGACGCGAGACCTTCTCGCGGCTGAAGCAGTTCCTGTCGCCGGAGGCAGTGCGGGTGGTGTCTCACTCTGAAGACCACGGGGCTTGTTTCTTCGCATCAGCTTCCCGTGTTCAAGCGTCCGCGATAGTGGAGGACCAGGAGCAGTTCGGGTTGGAAAGCTTCTCGCTTTTTCCATCAGCGTTGAAGCTGGCACCGGGGCTCGTCGACCACAGACAAAGCCATGACAAAGATGAGGAACCAAGAACAGGGCTGGGCAGACTTAGTGCGAGACATGGCGCACGGATGCGCATGTCCAATGTGGAAGGCTTGAGCATCGAGCTCACGCCTGGTACTTTGGCCTCACGATCTGCGGAGGCCAAGGCGTTTATCATCGATACTCTCGGGGATCTGATGTCAGCATCGGTAGACCTCCACTCGACCAACTTTTGGTCTGATCAGAATATTGTTGGGGGAGAACACCTCTCTTTTCCTGGGGGCACTGTACGAGCGAGAGATTGGAGCAAAGCAGCCAGTGTTGTGCACGAACTCAGCGAGGCAGCAGGCACGAGCCCTGGAGATATCTGCTCATGGAATAGGGTTTCCGTGCACCATGCAGAAGGCGACGTGCTCTTGGTGTCAGGTGTGTTGAGGTTTAAGAATCCAAGATTGGAAAAAAAAAAAATGCTGAGATTCCCAGATTTGGAGGCCATGGTGCATATGCATATTTACGCATATACCGTAAGGATGCGGGTCTCCGCACAGGGGTGTTATTATAGCGTTTTTCAAAGCTTCACCACTCGACAACTAGCAAGGCAACACTGCCGAAAAGGGAGGTTTTGGAATGATCACATCGAGGTCTTTCCTTAGACGTGTTGTTTGGCCTTCGCACCCTCCCAGTTGCGGATGTAAGGAAGCTTTGAAAAACGTCAACACCCCTGTGCGGAGACCCGCATCCTTACGGTGTTGGATCGATACGTACGGCAGAGCACCCATACATAGGGCAAAAATTATGTTGGACCGGAAGAACAAAATAAAACATCTAAGTTCTAGAGGAGTAGAGCCGGGTAGATGCCGTCCTTCCACCAATCACATGTCGAATATGTAGTACATTATGTAGGACAAAGACAGATGATTGGTTGGTGGCGACGCCGCCAAGCGGGAATCCCCCGAAAGACGAAGCACAGCAGCAGCAGCACATGACACAGGTAGACAACACACGAGACATCCAGCACGGCAGCACGCGAGACTGCTGTGGACCAAGGGCAGCCAAAGGCACACATAATAGGAGGTCTGGTTCGACTGTCAGAGCCAATTGGCTGCTGTCGGCAGCACCACAAGCGAGGGAGGCGACACAGGTCAAATCTGCTGCTGCTGCTGCTGCTGCAGGCCGATCTTTTGAGCTTGCTACAATACACAGTGGTGCATCCCCTAACCCTAACCCAATGAGACCTACAAACTGCTGCAGGCCAAGGCGGCCAAAGGAACACATCATACAGAGCATCGAGAGCGATTTTTGAGGCCCGTTGCCTGCTGCTAACAGCGTATAAGCGAGTGGAGCAAGTAAGTGCACACAGGTCAATCAATGTGCGGCTGTCTTCGCCGGTCTGTCTGCAGGCGGATCTTCTCTCATCCGCAACAGACCCGCCCGAAAGCAGAGAGACGATGAGATGTACACTCGCTGCCGGCCAAGGCGACCAAATACACACACACATAGAGGGCGTCGGGGGCGATTTTTAGAGCCCGTTGCCGCTGCAACGAGCTCAAGTGGTGCACATCCTCACAGCGACAGCAGCAGCAGCAGCAGCAGCTGATGATGATTCATGAGAGCTTCGTCCACACCACACAACACTTTTTTCACTCTTCCCCGCGCTGCTACACAGCAGCAGCCCTGCGCACACGGCTGACTGGAGGTGTTGGGTGAGGTGTGAGCGTGCGCAGTTGGAGTGAGTGGTGGCCTCTCTGTGAGGCTCCATCCATATCTATCTACACCTGCGTCTCTTTCTCCGCCCGTTCTTTTTCGCGCGAAATAATTCAATTATTTTTTGTTGGACCCCTATGTAAGGGAGTGGAGCCATACGTACTGTAACTTTCGCGGCAAAAAAAGTGTTTGGATCTCCCCGGAGTACCAAAACTTTGCAAGTGCGAAGCGCAGACCGTATCAAACAAGACAATGTAACACTGGGATGAAACTTTTGGCCCATCACTGGGTGTTGTGTCGTGCGAGTGTGGAGGGTGTTACAGTTGCGTCCGCAATTAAGAAACGCTTATTTCAGGTCCAGCCTCGAAATCTTATTGTGGGCTATAAACTCAGCGTAAATGTCGTTCAATTTCTTACGTCAAGTTTCTTTTCTTTTCGTGCCGCCAAATGCTGCTGAATTTCGTAAGTCGACAATTTCGTAGCTTCTCTGCTTGATTACTACACAACGTTTGAAAATCACCCGTCATCTATGGGAGGGGGGGGGGTAGCGGGCGAGGGGGAAAGAGCGAGAGATAGGAGGAACTGTGGGGTGTTTCTTATTCGACACACTCCCCCGTAAGCCCTCGTTTCTTATGTAGTAGGGCAGCGGTCGCCGCTGTTTCTTATTTGAGACTTTTCTTATTGTGTGACCCAGACTGAGCTATGTTTCTTAAGGCTGAATCTTACGGCTGATTTTTTCCGCATTGGATTTGGGGGGGGGGGCTTTTCTGAGCCCAAAAAATTATTTGGGCATCTTACGGGTAGGAAAATGGCAAAATCCAGCAGCCCAAAATCCAACAGCCCAAATGTTTTCTTGGATTCCAGCCGGCCTGTTAAAAAATTGGCCCATTTTCCAACAGCGATCGGGTTGGAATGTCGCTGTCAGAAATGGGGGGTGGTACCCCCTGGTCACACCCCGATCGTGCCAGAACGAGGAACTACACTGTCCGCTGGCCGAACAGAGGCAATTATCATGAGGTCATGCACAAAACCTTTGCAGGTATCTAAAATTCAGGGCGTCCTGCGTCGTTGGCCGCACACGAGCCGAAAACGTCAACCCTGCCACATTGCTCTGCTGACGTTCTTGCCTTTCGGCCGAAAAGAACCGTTTTTGCGCCTGCTGCATGTGTGACCAGTTCAAAACGCACGCCACAGAGAGGCCTTAGGCCGTCGACATCCACAAACTGCAGCCAATGGCGTGTGGTCATACTCAATTCCCTCTGCTCGCGTCCCAGAAACAGAGCGTATTGTCCAGTTTTGATTGCATACGGCCTGCAAACGTGAACTAAAGTGTGTTGCGGTGTTGACTTTTTGGGCTTCTTGTTCCGCTGCGTGTTTGCTCCTTGTGTCACCCGCTACCGGTCAACAACGCATGCGGAGAGAGGCATTTGGCCGACGACATTCACAAATATGAGCCAGTGGCGTGTGGCCATACACATATGTTTTGATTGCACATTGCCTGCAAACGTGAACCGAAGTATGTGTTTGGTATTGACATTTTTTGGACGTTGCCTTCTTTTTTCTTGTTGCTCCGAGCGTGATCAGTCCACAACGCATGCCACAGAGAGGCCTTTGGCCGATGACATCCACAACATTCCGCCACTGGCGTGCAATTATACACATGCCCTCTGCAGGCGCCCAAAAAACAGGGCGCTCCGTGTCTTGTTGGTCGCACACTAGCCAAAACCGTGTACTGAAACATGCTGTGACCCACAAAAAAAGACTTGAATCGAGAAAAAAAGATGCCTCGACGAACCGTAAGAAGGTCGTTTGGGTCTGGACAATTTTTCCCTTGCAGACCACCCCCCCCCCGACCGAGAGCAACAAAAAATCTCCGAAATAATCAAGCCGTAAGACTCGGCCTAACCCTATATTATTATTTTTCGTGGAAAAGTGAGCCTCTATTTCTTTTTAAAACATTTCTTAAATGCAGGCGCTAACTCTATCTTGTGTAGCCCCGGCGATATTTTGCTGGTCGCGGGAGCCATGGAGGGGGTGTGATCAGGGGGTGCGATACCACTGCCGCATGCGCACATTTCGTAGGGACCGAAGGGGTGTGGTAACGAGGGTGTATGTTAGCACTGCCTCCAAAGAACTGCCTACCGTGCCTGGTACCACATGTGCAAAGGGGGCGTGCGGGTGAGATACCGCTTGCCTACCAAGAACAACGACAAAAAAAAGGGAGCTCTTGATTGTGCAAGTCCTACCCTTTCCTTCACGCCCGCAAAAATATTACTCTGCTGCTGTGTATGGAATGTTCGCGTGCTTCTCGCACATGCCTGGCACTCGTTCCTGAGCGAAGAAAAATTGCATCATATCGTGTTCAGCATGGTGCCTGGATTGGAGTTTACTTCATAGTACGTATCTGCATCATGAAGCGGCGGGCCAGAGTTGAGCGACACTAACTGAGCGATATTTTCGATGCTCTTTGCGTTGATTTCGCCCGAGACGCTTGTGAAATCGTTGTTTGCTTGACTTGTTATGTTTCTGCGTCGGCGTCTCTGACTCCTCTGCTTGATTCGTGTAGTCTCCAATCGTAGATTCTTGTCTCTGGGTCTCACGGTGGTATGTGTAGCACGCTTGTTTGATGCCATCGTTGCAGGTGGCCACCACCACCGTAAAGTTTTCTCCCACTACGTTCACGCAATCTGCTCTTTTGTTGGGCGAAGAGAGAATACATGTAAAGCTACACTGATGCGGCCGCTCACATGTATTGGTGCATCGCCTCTGCAAAATGGCCGGCACGGCTGTGTTACTACTTCGCTTTTTCGTCCCCAGGCCTGGACCACCTCCTGCACTCCGGTAGGGGCGCGGGAGGACGCAGCGACGGAGGGGAAGCAGCCGAATTGCATGTTGCCTGTTTCATGGGACTCGTGTCCTTCCTCGCGAGCAAGCCGGAGGTTCTAAGAGTTGCCCCCAGGCAGTCACAAGCACTGCTGAACGCGGCCGCGCGGGCCAACATCCAAAGCGCCACGGTGACAGATACGCCGCTCACGGACGCGGGGTTAGATGGAACGGGCCAGGTCGTCCAGGTGTGTCCGTGCAACAAATAGTATCGTTCCGCCGCATCCGGCGTTGGGTCCGTGGGGTGTGTGTACTTCCCACACGGTCCCCGATTCCAGAGGTGCGTATTCTTCATCCAGCCTTGGACTATTCGGCGGGCTACCCAACAGGAGTTAGGAAATCGTGTCCGATCCGAGCCTTGAAAAGTCACACATACTCCCCCCCCCCCCCAGCCGTGAGCCAGCGGGGTTGCAATCGCAGTGCCCAGACGTCCCCCCGCTCCCACCTAATACTCTCCGACCCCACGTGCGTGCGGAACCCCAACCCAGGTGATCGACTCAGGGGTCGATGAGTCTTCGTGCTTTTTTGCTCACGACGAGAGCGGCGACCACGTACCCCACGGGCACTATTTCGAGGAGTGGGGAATTAACCCGTCCCTGACCTCCTCCTCCTTCTCCTCGCCCACAAGTGACGACGACGACGACTCGTGGTGGTGGCCGTGGGCCACCGCCGACCACCACACAGGCTCGTACTACCAGATCGCGGAAGAATTCGACGGTGGGGATTTCACCATCTACCCCGATAGGCGCAAGGTTTGTAAAAACCGGTGTGTGCGCGCGCTGATGGCGGGTCTCTTCGTGTCTTTCGACCACTGGAATGTGCCTCCTGCACTCTCCAGTTAAGACTATGTGTTGTTGTGCAGGTGCAGGGTTCCGTTCTGTTTACAATGCAGTTTCGAACGGCGGATGGCTCTACGTGTCGAGATGATCGCGCGAGCACGCGATCGTCGTCCCAACCTCATCAGCAGGGCACCCTCATCCTCATATTTTCGCACGTTTTTTTGTTGGTGCTCAAATCACGGGCGACGTTTGCTCCGTAAATTACAAATTACCCCTCCTTCCCTCGCTCGTGCGTCGTTTCTGACTCGGCCAGATCATCCAGTACATCAATCTGATCAAGTCGGACGACACCGAGGGGTCACACGGCGATTCTTTCACCACCTCTCTTGGGCAGCAGTATCCCTGGCTTTCCGCAGATCACTTCGAGTATGACGATGAGGTGCGGACGGAGCGGTGGAATCCGCGCTTCCTTTTCTCATTGGGGGTTTCTCGTGCAGTAGGCGTGGGCGATTCATCCGCTTATCAGGTGCTCCTCGCCATGTGCGTTGTTGGCACAAGCGGTTGCACAGCTTGTTTGCGCGGTTTGAGCCTCTTGGCATCGACTTTGGTAGAGGTATGGGGTTTTGGTGGAGACATCTAACAAGGAACGTACGTGTTGCATCCTGCCTTTCCTCCCCAGGCCGGCCATGGCACTCACGTCGCCGGATCGGTTGCAGGGGCAACGCTGAACACCCCGGCAGAGCTGATTTCGTGCAACGACACGGAGACGATGAGCTGCGTGGGTGCTTGCGTCGATGACGACGAGGCGAACGACGTGGATGATCTCGCCACGCCCTACGTCGAGATCGCAGATCTTGACAGGCTTTGCCCGCTGTTCTCGGACTATGACTGCGACGGGCTCGAGACGGACAAGTGCTTGAGTGACGATGTCGCTGAGACCCTCACAAACAACGGGGGCATGGCTCAGGGCGCGAAACTCGCAATTTTCGACGCGTTCTACGACACTTTCGGTCTGTCCCCCTTTGTCGGGACCGGCTTGTGGGAGCCGTGCGCGGACGCTGACTGCAAGATCCATTCCAACAGCTATGGGGGAGATTTCGAGGTATTCCGTGTGTAAGAATGCTACGGTTGGCGTTTCTAGCGTGTGAGTGTTGATTTTTCTTTTTTTTTTTTGCTCGCTCGAAGTGATGGGTCCTGGTGTGACGATCTGTTGCCGGTTGGCCTCCGTGTTTTTTTTTTTAAAGCTATTGTCGTCGATTTGTGCGTTTCGTTGATCTATCCAACAATCTAAGGGTAGGGTGGCTCGCTTGACGTTGTTGACAACGACGGTCTGTTTGCCAAGCACAGCATCGATTGCTCCTTCTGTACCGCACGCCGGCAGTAGCACCCACCGTCGTTACTCCCACCTCTTACCCCGGCCTGCCTGCATATCCCCGTGCCCCGCGCCGTTCTTTTCTGAGCGGCTCAGAGAAAGATCAAGCAGAGAATGGGTCGAATGCACATGATTATTGGCAGTCGTCGCGCGCACAGTATATGTGCGACTCCAGCTCTTGTTTCCCTTCTTCCGTTCTTGATGGGTTTTTCGGCGGTCAACGAGGGCACGACGGGTGTGAGCCATCTCTTGGTGCCGAAGGGCGTCGACGGCGGCAAATTGATGGCCCAGTGCTATTTCGCAAACACGCGTTAGAGGTGCACACGCGATAAACACAAATATTTTCTTACAATGACCCCCCCCCCCCCCCCCCCCGGCCTTGTTTGCCATTGGGGTTGGGTTTTCGTCCCTTGGCAACGACGTTGTAAAACAAGCCTTTCACTTCGTGAGCTCGGCAACCAGGTTACCAATTATTTTTTGCCTTTTTTGTTTTTTGCGGTACCCACGAATGGTGGTCGAGTAGATTATGTTGTGCGGGGTCGAGAACCCTCACTCCGCGCAAAGGCGATAATCGCACGTTGTGTTAAATTGGTCAAGCACCCTCGAGGCAGCTACACCGCACTTGCAACAGTCTCTGGAAGTGAAGGCACCAGAAAATAAATTAAGTCATACGCAGCTGTCATCCGTACGCAAGGAAGTAAGCACAAGATGCCGAACACCCTCAGCAGGATGCAGCACACCCTTCATGCGGCTCGCCGAATACCTCACGGCGCTTCGCGCTTGGTGATGTGAGAGCCTGGTCCGGTGAGAACCCGGCGTGCTCCGTCCCGGCTTTGTAGGGATGCGAGGTCAATGGTCTAACGACTACGGCATGCACGACTATGAGAACCCCCCCTCCCCCCCCCCCTACCGCTCTTCCCGACTGGTCCCGACTCTACCCCACACACCCCGGCACACCCAGTGCTCGTTGGGATCGAACGATGTGCTGTACGACGAATGGATGGTTTCGAACCCGGAAAACCTCTTGATTTTCGCTGCAGGTGAGAAGGACAACGATGATAAAACCTGTCCCAATGATTGTTTTCACGATAACTGTTGTACTCAATCGTAGGTTTGACTTTGCGCCCACACCACCCAATGCCGTTTTGTCGTTGCCTCCTCCGCCGAAAGTTCTGTGGCGTCAGCCGCGCCTAGACCCTACGAACTGCAATCATTATTCCTCTGGCGTGTCGACATGTGAAGAAACGGGACTCGCAGCTGGAGCACAGGCGCGTACGCATGACGGCGTCACAAGTGTCAGTCCGCCCAAACAATGAAAGTGCAAGATGCCATAGCGGCTGCGGCAGCACATAGCAAGCAAGGGGGATATGAAGCCGCTGTATGCTTCACCGCGACATTGACGCCTGCGAACTCTTTCTGCAGGCAATGACGGCGAGCTGCGGCGGTCGACGTGTACGATAGGTAGCCCCGCCATCGCCAAGAACGTTCTTGCGGTCGGGGCGTCGACATCCGGTGACACCCGCTTGTCCGCCACTCCAGGCTCTGGCATAGACACAGTGGCAGTGTTCAGCTCGTACGGGCCCACCTCTGATTCCCGCATCAAGCCGGAGGTCTTGGCGCCTGGCGATGCGGTGAGCGAGCAGCGGGCGCCTGATCCGATTACTCCTCACTAACCCTCCGCCGCCGGTGTGCTCCCTCTTTTTCCATGTCGGGAGTGGAACGAGAACGAAAAGTATCCTATCACCGTGGGGTCTCCGATCCCCTTTTATTCCATTGAGCGGTGCTGCGCTATTCGTTTCCCCTCTCCCGCAGCTAGGCTGTTGGCTGCAGTCGTGCTCCGATCTCGCTCTTGTTCGCTCAAAAGGGGGTTATGTACTCCCGCAGGGGCAACGGACACGCTGTTGTCGAGGATTGACGCGACCGAACGGGGGTTCAGCCGAAGGGAGGTGTTGGGAAACTGGAGCATATCTGCAAGCGTTCTTTGGAACGCTGGCTTGTCCCTCTGCGATTATGTCCTTACCTCTACTCGAAGGCGGACCCGTTCTGTTGACGTGTCACGCCCTATACCGGCCCGGACCCTTTCGGCCACGTGCCCTTACCGCCACACGCCGTTGTTGCTGCCCCGTGGACTCTGCGCTGCTTGTTAGATCTACTCCGCCGCCAGCGATGGCTCGGTGGACACTCATTCGTGCCGCCTGTGGGCGTACGTTGGGACGTCCATGTCCACCCCGATTGTTGCCGGAGCATCGGCAATGGTGAGGGGGTAGCAGCGGAGTGTGTTATGTTCTTCGCTCGTGTGGAAGTGCCAGTGGACACACGTTGTTTCTATTTGCGTTCGTTGGATTCACTTCTTGCGTTTCGCAAAGCATAAAAGCGTACATTCCTGGACTTGTTGCCACTGATTAAGGCGAATCGTGTTGCTTTAAAAACTTGTTTCACCCAGTCTGCGACTACCCAGCGGGGGTGTACTCTCTACCATGGTCCTGGCGATAGAAGCTCGACACAAAGACGATGTGTTTTTTTTGTCGAACAGGAGGCGTTGGTGAAGAAATCGTCGGTTACGGCGAAAGGGCAACAACAGCAATTGCCTCCATGTTGCGAGTTTCATACGTTCTTTGTGCAGTGAAGGCGTCGAGAGGCCACTGTTGAGCAATTTTTGGTGCCCCTTTGGAACGCTTTTTGCCTCTCAGATCAGGCAGTACTTCATGAACGAGACGTTTTTCGCCACGGACATGACGGCCAGGGGGTTCTGCGATGAGTGGGCGGGTTGCGAGGCCTTCTCGCCTTCTTCCGCAACGCTAAAGGTGAGGAAGACCCTACAAGTTGCGCGTGCTGCGCAGCGGATCACACCCACTCGGTCGATTTTCCGCGCTCGTTTGTCTTCATGCGCGCGCACAGGGTGATCGTCCCAAAAATGGTGGATCTTGGAGACATGACACCAAGGGATCTCGGAAGATTCATCGTTTGGAAACGAGCACCGTCTTGTGGTGGAGCTAGAGAGCTCTGCCCAGAATCGTGTGCAGTTTACATATGTACTCGGAGTAATGTTTTTGGCGATAAAACGCGGGATCAACCTCCTTTTCCGGTGGCGCTGCGCAGACGACGCTGCTGGTTCAACCGACAAACGACGAGAGGCCATTTCCAATGAGCCTTCCGCTTGGATGGTCTAGGGCAATGCACACAGCCATCGTCGCCCAGGCGTGTTAGTCGTGCGCTGCATGCAACCCGAGGGTGCAATGCGCCAAAAGACGGATGTTTCGTGGGGTTTTGTACGATGTCCCCGCTTCTTAACTCGACGCTGACAAATGTGCATTATGAATGCTGCCAGGGCTTCGTTGTTGTTGGCTTTCTTCCGTTTTCCATCTCTTCATGTCCTCACCCTCACCGCGCTCTGTCTCTCGTCCTCTCTCTTCCTCTCCTGGTCTGTCTGTATGTCTGCTGTTCTCTTCTCCCGTTCTCTCTCTCTCTCTCTCTCTCTCTCTCCCTGTCTCCGTTCCTTCCGCCCTATGCTCCCTGTGCTTCCTTCCTCCCAAGGCGTTGATGATCAACAGCGCGAACCTGATGGGAGAGAGCAGCGAGCCAAATGGCTCTCGCGGCTTCGGGCGTATCCACCTCGAGGCAGGGATGCCGCTAGGAGGAGAGGGAAGCTTGGCCCTCTTCGTGTCAGACTCCAACTACACCTCGATCCCGGAGCTCACTCGCCAAGAATACAACTTCGACGTGAACGCCACCGCTGGCCTGGACTTGCGTGTCACATTGTCGTGGCTCGACCCGCCTGCCACCACATTTTCGGCGGTGCAGCTGGTGCACGACCTGGATCTGGTCGTCATTTCCCCGAACGGCACGAGATACACAATGTGGGCCTCGGGAGTGACGGACTCGTCAAACGTCAACGAGCGGGTGATCGTGGACGCGGATGATGTGGAGACAGGAACCTGGAGGTGTGTGCTTTATTCGAAACGAATCCAATGTGGCGCACGCGTTGCGGGGATGCCGTGGGGGAGGAAGGTGTGATTTGATGCCAGCCTTATTGACTAATACGAAAAAACAACCCGCTTTTCCGAAACTGCATTCGGTTGACATTTCGAGTATCCGACCCTTTTCTACCCCTCGCACGTGAAAACCAAAGCGTATGGATCTGGGCCGACAACCTCACCACCGACGTGCAGAGCTATTCGCTTGTCGTGAACGGGGCCATAAGTCCGGGGACGGGCGTGGGGGCTATTGAACGGTCCTCCTCGACGTCTTCGACGTCCTCGGACGGGTTGGCTGAGACTGCCCCGCCGTGGGAGACCGGGCTTAGTACCTCTGATTCTGATACTGCGGACACGTATACCGCGCCTGAGGAAATCAGTTCGTCTGATTTGTACTGGGACACGGAAGCTCCAGTTGAGGCAGAGAGTGGTAGCGGAGCGCCGACAGCTGTGTCTGCCTGGTCAAGCTTGTGCGTGTCGTTGATGTCCGGTGTGCTGGCGCCCCTTTCGGCCATCGCTTTAGCCGCGCTGTCTTGAAGTGTGTACTCGAAACGGCGGCGTGAATCGACGAGACCCCTTTTGGTTTTAGTACGCAGCTGTTTCTAATTTTGACAGGCGAAATTACGCCGCGGCGTGATACCCTCGTTTGCTTTGGTGGTTCAGTGCATGGATGTGCCGCTGGTGGGAAGCAAATGTTTCAATATTGATCGATGTCGTCCAGCTCCAGAGTGTGTTCTAGGTTTAGCCAGTGCCTTCAGAGTTTGTGCGTTTGATTGCTCCCGGCCTCTCGTCTTAACCTGTGGTAAATTTCGTCACGGCGCAGCTAACGTGGTGTTGTTTATACTGTAGCTTGTAGCACATGTGCGAAGTTGTTGAATTGATGACCGGCAAGGTAGCTCCCATCGTGCTACATTTTTTTTACAACACGCACTACGCAAGGAAGACCACCGCCGGACCTTGGCAGCATGGCTGTGTTTTTTTAAGGCGACGGTGATGTCTGACCCTTGTTCGCTTTCGTTCTGTGTTGTTTGGTTTGTTTGTTCACCTTCGCGGTGGGTATATTATTGTTACACGTCGTTGTAGGGCCGTCTGGCAGGCGAGATTCCCGCTCATTTTCTCTTATTCGGGTAGTTGTTAAGTTGTCGTTAGAGGCTTGAAGTGGGTGGATACGTGCTCGGCCGCAGGTACGTGTATAGCTCTACCGTTGCTCGCTCCTGTGACATAATTCGCTCTTTTTGTTGTTTGTCGTTGGTTTTGAGCGTGCTCCTGGTATATTCTTGCCTTCGCTTCTTTTGGCGCTGTCACTAGCGTCGCTGTGTCCCTTCTCGTGCAGTTTTTTACTGTTGGCACGGGCGGGCGTGTTCCGGTTGTGTGTGTTGTGCTTTTAAGGAATAATATAAACACACACAGAAAGACTACCCATTCGAGATATACCCACAGTCGAACGGGATGTGGTGGAGTCTTTTCAGTGAGTGGAGGGAAACCGGCTGGGTACTGGACTTTTGTAGTCGATCGTAATGCGCATTAAATTGCGGGGGTAGAAAAAGAGCAGGTAGCGTTCTTGACTCCTGTGGTAGCGTCCTGCTCCATCGGTGTGCCATAATTGTGATCATGTTGGTACTTCTTGCATCGTTGGTGGTAGAATTGCAGACAGCGATCTAGAGTTCATTCTGTGTGGCATGTGTTGCCTGTGCAACAGGAACACCATTCAGTTACGCCGTATTGCCAATTGTTGTGTACATGTCTCCAAGCAGAAATTTTGAAGTATTAAAATGCGACAGAGAGAATGAGAGGTAAAAAACAGAGAGAGACATAGATAGACTGGCAGGCGGACAGGCTTATCGGATCTGGTGCTACAGGACGAGCCAGTTACATTTACGTCCGTAACAAACATCAATTGCAGTCTGTTTTAGTGTAGTCATGACGCAGGTCGTCAAGGGGTCTACCTCACCTGTTCCTGGACTCCCTCTATTTCCTCCTGCACCTCTAAGTGTCGGGTCATTGTTCGTGGCATCGCGAAACAATAAACATCCGTCAGTGCCAGCGCGTACAATTCCAACGTCTCTGGGAGGGCAACTCTCGAAAAATGCGCAATGCGCTGAATTCGAATGAATGCCAAATGAGTCTCGCACAAGTCCTTTCTGAGAGAAATACACCACCTCTCTAGAATACCTGCTCTTGCCGGAACCTACAGGGAGCCATTTCTTATTTCTAACCGGCTTGAGTTTGGACGGCCTGCCTAATTCCCCCTATTTTTAGCTGTTACTAAAGGAATGTGTCGACCTCCCTTTTTTTTTTTTTTGACCCCACCCCGTCGCACAGGCAATTGAACCGCATCTCACAGCACACCATTGCAGCCAGAGCTAGTACGGCAGGCATCGCACACGCCGTCTTCACTGTGGGCGGCAGCAGCAACAGAGAACGTTAGGTAGATGAATTTTGTTGCTAGAGGTGGACGGGCCCGCTCCCACCAGGCGTTCTTTGGGACCCAACCTCGGCTGCCTTCGGGGTGTGGCAATTCTCCTGCGATGGCAGCATCAGCAGCACGGACAACGTCTGCAGCCGTAGCAAATGGGCAGCGCTCTCTTGCGCGATCCCCGACAATTCTCCTTGGAAGAAGTAGTGTAAAGCAGTCATGCAGCAGCTGGGCACGCTCTAGAGCACCATCACCTCGGGGCTTCGCGAAAGCTGGGAGGCTGCCCCCGTCGCTTCAGCGCGGATCGCGCATCGTGCCTCCGTGTGCATCATGGGCAAACAAGGGTGGCCGTTGTGTTGGTGCAGGCAACCGGGCGCTGTCTTCCTTCCTCCCTCGAGGAGGGCGTTATTCGGACTCTATGGTCATCTACGGCGTGGTTGGGGTGAGTTGGTCACACTCCCAGAGGAGAGCAAAACACGGGATCATGAGGGAGACACGACCACGGCCCAGAACTGCGCCTGTGTAGACTACCGTAATTCCATGAGCAGTTAATTCCGGCCTGTTGGGTTCAGGAACGTTCCGCGAGCTCGTGCGCCTCTATTTCGTATCCCGACAAGAAGCGTCATAATGGTTTTCTTTGCACCTCACGACGTCCAGATCAACAAGATGTGTATCACACCTCTTGCCTGTGTGACCAGACCCTGCTTTGTATGAACGTGGACGACAGCAGCAGCGGACTACAATAGTATGTATGTAGCGACATGCGTGTTTTTCCGCGATTGATTCCGTTGGTTGCATCGCGAATCGCGTACTGCACAACTATAATAGCCGCCTGTGGACCGTGGATTTCAGTAGCTGGAAGTTGCCGTTGCAGGTTTTGCTCCGGGAAGCACGCGAGAAACGGATGCTTGATGAAAAACACAAGAACGCGATGTTGTGGAGTCTTGCCCTCGACTCAGCGTCATGCTCGGTTCTAATCTCGCTCCCTACCGTACCGTTACCACCATGGGAGTGCCTGGTCTCTGACTCTGTCTTCGCGTCTACCAACCGATTTTTTGCTATGCACTCGTTATCTGTCCGTGTCGGGGGAGTCTGTTCTTTGTGCGTCTCTCTTGCTTTTTCATACCTTCTCTTTTAGCTTGCAACTTGTGCCACATCTCTCTTCTCTCTCTCTGGCCCCTGTGTGGATGCCCAGCTGAACGTGGCCGGAACGGTTGCGATGTACCTCTACGAGAGTCAGGGCACGGGCGGTCCTTTCCTCTTTGTGAGTGCCAGTAGCGGAGATACACAAGAGGACAACCGGTGTCGTGATAATTGGTGTGTCTTGCGCTTTTTTTTCCAAGCAATCTTTGTGCTTGTGGTTGTCTTCGACAGCAAGATGGGAGGGAGCTGTAGTCATGTTCTGTCAGGCCCTCCTATCGAACACGCGATGGCGCAAGTTGACGTTTCGGGAGGCATCTACGGCAGTTCTATTGTTGGGTGCTTACCTGGTGTGTGGCTGCGTCCTCTCGTCCTCCCCCTGTCGGATGCCATTGCGTTGGTAGTCTCTCGTCCCCATGACTTGCTGTTTCTTCCCTGCCGTCCTGTTGGTTTGGAATGGAGCAATGTGGACGTATGAAAAATGCAACCGACTCGTGCCAAGCCTTTGCATTGTGGGCACCGGTACAAACCACGACTGCAGCCCGGCTGCTTCTTTGCCTCCTCCGGCGTTCTCTGCGCGTGATGTAGCACCTCTGATGTTCCTTCTTGCCCCCGCCGCCCAACTCACCCCCCGTTAAGGGTAACTTCATGGTGTCGACCTACACCACGCTGATGCAGGGGAGGCTACACACCCTGTTCACATCCAACTTCAGCCACAGGTATTGCCTGCGGAAGCAACTGCCTGTGCGTTATGGCTCTTGGAGTATGCTCTTGCCGTATGCCTCACGGGAGTTGCCGAATTTTGCTTCTGGGTTCATCGGTGCTGAGCGCACGGTGCCTTATCGCATGCTGCCCTCCTCTCTTTCTCTTGCCTCACTGTGAGCGAGCAGCACCCAAAAAAGCTGTGGCTCTAGAAGGCTGTGCCCGTTTTTTTGCCACATGATCTACCTTCCCGATCACCACCAGGACCAGAACCGACCCGGCGTTTGAGTAGGATCTACCCTTGCGTACTCCGCTGATTGAGTGAAATCCTTGCTTTTCGCAACACCTTTTCCACTTGGTCGCGCAGTGTGCATGCTGGCGTGAAGTCAGTGGCCTTTGATGGCATGCCCTCCCCCCTGCGACTTGATGTTGACTTGCGAGTTTTTTTCTTTTGATAAGCGTCAGCTTGCGGATGGTACGCTTTCGATTCGTCAGGTTGATCAGCTCCTACTCAATCGATATTTTTCTCTCTGGCGACCCAATTCATCCCGAAAAATCCGAAAACGACTCCTCACCCATACCTGTCCATGGCATCAAGGACCCGGCGCCCTCCCCCGGTTGTGTCTTCTCCGTACTCCTGTTGTGTGGTCGTGATGCCACTCGAAACACCAACAAAACACATAGCAATCTCTGGAACGGCGCCATCTTCTCCTACATGATGTACACGCTGGGGCCGACGGCAATCCAGCACCTGGGCAGGCGGCAGTTCCTGGCGCTCTACCTCTTGGGCGGGGCTTTCTCTCAGCGTGAGAACACCTTCTCCATGTTGGCGTTCATGTTGCTCAGCTTGTGATGCTCCCATCACCGGGTTTTCTTCAAGCACACCTTCTGTTCGGTATCGCGTAGTATTGTCGATCACGGGGTTGACGGCGAGGAAAGTACGACGCTTGCAAAAACAAGGACAGCAGCATCAGCGCACCACCACCAACAGCCGCATTTGCGTGCTCTCCTGTCTCTCTCTAGACAGCCTTATCCACTCTGTTCTCGCTCGTGCGCTTGCTGGCGTCGGCAGTTTGCCAAGTGGCAGGGCCGGGTATCGCCAGCCGGCTGGGCCTCCCCTCCGTCCTCCAGGTAAGCGACTGGGTTGCGGTTGTCTTGCTCGTGCTGGTAGAAAACACCGGACTTCAACTCACCGTGAAACAAAAGACAAAACAAAATGATATGCATGCAGCCAGCAAACCCTGACGAAACACAGGAGACGTGTCAGGTGCCGTGCCTGTACCCTCTCCACCATACCACAGCGGTAAACTCAGCACGAACCGAGCTACTACGCCAGCGGCGACTCCGCAGGTAGCGGGCGACAGGCAATGCAGGAGGTTCGGTATGGTCGTATGCTAGAGTTCACGGGGCTCTCGTAGACGAATGGACCGTTTTTTGTTTAGTTTGTTGTTGGCCGCTTCCCAACGTTGAACGAGGTAAGGCTGCGGTAGACAGACTTCTTCAAGGGCTTCTCCTCGCACGGGCCGACAACGGCGCCTCCTTACTACAGGCCGATTTGACGAGGATTGATTTTTCCGCAATCGCTGTCCTGTGAGAGCCGATTCGCCCTAATGTTCCCGTGTGCACTCCGCTGCATTGCCGAAGTTTTCCCCGTCAGCCTCCTCTTCTCCTCTGTCGTTGCCTGACTCTGTGTCTCCGCCCTTCTCTCGTTTGTCCACCGCTAGGTCGATCCGTACTACTTCAGTTCAGGGGGCTCCGGGGCGACGCTCGCCGTCCTGGCATGGTACTGCGCGAGCTTCCCCAGCAGGTACTCCTTCTCCCACGTTTTCCCACCTTCGCGTCTCACCTGTGTGGCGTTCCGCACCGCCTCTTTCCCGTCATCATTACAAATGCTCGAATTTCGTCCCGCCTTTGTGGTTTTCCGCACGTGCTACAGTAGTTTCGATTATTTCCCAATTTTTTTGTTTTTTTTTTCAGCTTGGTTTGTTGTTCTGTTTTGCGCTTGGACTGTGCATGTGGATCTCGGAAGCCGTTTGATCGTGCCGGCCGGGGATGTTTTGCATTTGCGCGAACAGGCAGGGTTACCGTATGTATCTCAGGAGCTGGCTTTCACGAAGTGACAGTACCATTCAGAAACAGTCTCGATTGAAAGGTGCCGACACGCCCAGCGTGCCATCGCCGTACCTACTGTGTCGAGCCACGCCATGCACACCTTACACCCTTATCCTCGACCACAAATCCCCGACTCCCCGCTTGTTGTGCTGCCTCCCTGCCCTGCGGCGCAGCCAAATCATTCTGCTGGTGGTACCTGTGCAGACGGGCGTTGCCGGAGCGCTATACCTGGGGGCTACGCTGTATCAGGTGGTGTCGAACGGGGCGGGGGTGCCATTCCTAGGGGGACCCACGCAGGAGATTTGGAGAACACTGGGAGCGGCCGCAGCGGGAGTGATGGTGGCGTTAGCGTCGCGGGGGCGGGGCGGCGGGCGATACAAGTTCATCCAGAGATATTAGAGGGGGGGGGGAAGCAGTGTTTCGTCATTGAATGTTTGCGTTTGGCGATTGTGTGTGTAGGCAGAGTTTCCTGGTGTGGGCTCCGGCAAGTTTACGTCTTTGAGCGAATAGTCGGGGGGGTTTCTGTTGTCGCGCTTTGCCGCGTGCACTGCTGGGAGGAATGATGGCCGCAGTGTTGTATCCGCGCGCGCAGCAGCTACATTTTGGACAAACGAGGGGGTCTGATATGCTACGAGCGGCGGTGTATGGATGGGGGGGCTGGCAGGTTCAGCACAGCCTAAGCATGTGGCATTTTTCTTTACGAGCCAGTGGCTGCCCATGTCGAATCTGTGTTGCAATTGTATGTCTTGGATGACTCTACATGAGATATATGATATTGTGGTGTTTATGTTAAGAGCCAACGGAGGACTTCTAAAATACTTCCCAGAATTAGAAATGTTGGCACTGGTGCACCTGCTGCTGCTGCTTCTGCTGCTGCTGCTGTTGATGATCTGCTGCTGCTGGTCCCTGTGCACTGTCTCCGTCCTTTCAGACGCAATAGGATGTGAATTTGATCACAACGCCTTTTTGCGGTTTCATTGTTTGACTCGCCCATGATCTCTCACCATCTGCTGTACGAGACCACCACCCAAGCACTCGTCAGGTTACCTCGTGTTCTTGGCAAGGGCTTTCTTCCAGGAGACGTTGCCATAGGCGGAGCAGGTTTCGAGCACGAGTGAACGCATACAGCTGTTGCCATTCCCCCGCGAGGTTCACCTCATGCACTGCAGTGCTCGGATAGCCGTCTGCGCCGCGAGTGCGTTTTCGCTTAATTTTCATTCGTCTCTCCGCTCTCCAGGTCGAAAGGCTAAATCAGAAATGAACGCCCCATATAACCCACTCGAAGCCCCGACGTTCTTCTTTTGGTCAACCGGACTCCGGCGACCACCTCCGTGAATTATTGCGATTTCACAGGGATTTTTCCTGCCTTTCCCCCGAAACCCCCACACCAAACACTGCCACATGATGCTCAAAGAAAGCGGAAGCACGTTCGGTCGAGGAAACTTTATGAGAAGGATTCCCGTCGTCCATATTAGTCAGTGAATCCCAGTTTGATGGTAGTGTGTGTTCACTCCGCCATTGTCCGAGAGTTGTGCGTATCGTCGCCTCCCGTTGTTCTCTGATCTGAGGAGTGAGTCCAAGGCTGTTCTCACTCAACATTGATCGAAGACGATATAGCAGTTTGTATGACACATGATATTTCACCATCACCATCTGTTACTGTCCGTGTATCCCGTATTTTCCAATTTTTCACTCAACCCTGTGCAAAAATGTACCGTCATGGCTTCCTTCCATCATCGGTCGACTTGGTGAATGAATCTAAGGCTTTGTACACCCAGCCGCAACCATGATCGATGCAGAATGTTCCCATGAAACACACCTTGCCATCATCATTCAGTATTAGTGAATCCACGTTGTTGGTGTTTTTTACTCAACCATGTGGACGAATGTACTCGTCATGGCTTCCCACCATTGTTCGACTGGGTGAGTGAATCCAAGGCTTGTTCACTCAGCTGTAACGATGATGAAAGCACAATGCTCGCATGAAACTACCTTGCCATCACCATTCAGCGTCAGTGAATCCATATCATTAGTGCTTTTCACTCAAGCATTTGGAAGAATGTACTCGTCATGGCTCCCCGCCATCGACCGTCAGGATGAGTGAATTCAAGGCTTATTCACTTAGCCGCAACCCGATCGATACTATCCACGGAGGGGAGGGAACGAGATACAGCCAGGGGTGGAGGGTGAATCGAGGGTGCACTCACTCTAAAAATCTACGACGGCGTGAATCAGTTGCCTGAGGACAAACCAGTGGCTGGCATCGGCATGGACCACCTTCGTACCGTTACCATGAGAGTCGAGCCAGCATAGCCAATTATGAACTATGTACATCTTTATCAGTAGCACTCTCCCAGCCCCGGCACCCATCGGTATGCGCCCGAAGGAACGAATCAAACTTGTCAGCTACAACGCATTTCCGCTGCTGTCCCGCTGCTGTCCTGCCTTACTCCTCCAGAAGGCTAACACGGTTGCTTTGCGCGCTTCTACACGGGTTTTATCGATAATCACAGTTGCCCCCGGGTATCCGAGGTTCCGGAAGACCCCGGAAGGGCGGCGTCCCACAATGTTGGCGCAAGGTAAATGCCACGTCGTTCTGGGCGTTACACTTGCTACACAGGACTTGCGGTACCCTATCCTGTACTCATGTGGCCACGGGGGGATCCGCTCAAGTGACCTTCGAACAATATCTCACACATGCAACATGATATGCGACAACGTCGGTATATCCTACACTCGCCTAGGCCCGAAAGCATTGTGAAGTGAACTGCGGATTTTGTTTGATGTTCATTCGCCCTGCCGGGTGGCAGTGAAATCGTGCCAAGTTCGCACCCCAGTCAGTCTAGCCACAGCCCACACACCATCACAACACCGGCATGTTGTCTACGAGTATGTATTATGGTGGTAGTGCAGTCCCACCCCAATTTCGTCTCGCATTCATTCGTGGACGAAGCGAATGAACATTCCCATTTGTGGACAGCCGATATTACTGCTCTCTTGATGATTTCGCCCGTCCATCGCCTTCTACCTGCAAATGAGAACCCCAGGTACTGCCGTATATTCATTCCGACAGCAGTGTCTCACCCCAGGCCAGCGGGTGTAATCGGGGCAATTGTGTGAGTGCGCGGGTTTTGTCCGACCTGGCAAGGGCGCGCGCGCTGTCGCATAGGCAAAGCAAGCACCTTGAAAGGAAGCCTCATGCCTCGCCTTGTTGGAGGTTTCTCTACGTCACGTGATGTTCATGGAAGGGTGGTGATTCGTGGAATCTCGTGTGTTCTTCTACTCTATTGGCTTCAATCAGTTGATGCGGCTGAGCGAAAAAAGCCTTGAGTGAACAAGCCTTGGGTTCACTCATCGTGTCGAACGATGGTGGGGAGCCATGACGAGTACATTCTTCCACATTGTTCAGGAAAAATATACAAAAAAACAATGTGGATTTACTGACATTGAATGGTGATGGCAAGGTACAACACGTTTCATGCGAACATTCTGGTATGTCGGGAAAGACTACCTGTGAATCGGCACTTGCATGTTTCGCAACCATGAAGCTATTAAGGCCATGCATCCGTATGAAGGAAATGAAAAGACCTTGTTCTTGTGTGATTGCCTGTTGATGTATTGGTCCTGTGAATTCAATTGTGCTTTGAATTCCATAGCGCAATGGCTTCATTAGGGTCTCTACTTCGTCGTTCTGACGGGACCCTTCAGGGACAATCGTCATTTTCAGCTGAATTTTGAACTTTTGCCCTCTCCCGGCTACCACTGTACTGGAGATATGTTCGATAGGACAAGGAAGGAATAATCGACGATCCCAGCGATACTTCTCCACCTGTATTTCCTCGTACTGCTGCTCTAACAGTTCAACAACTACAGTATCGACACTTTGGTCTGTACCCAACGTTTCTCCGCCCGCTACGTTACAACGCCGTCCAGCCCTGTCGGCGTGTCGCGGAGCTGTCCTCCCCGACTTGCATTCATTCGTGTTCATGACTTCCGCACAATTCCAACATAAATAGCGTCACAATGTCATCCATATTCGCCAACCGTTCACATTATTCACCTCATCGAGAAAGTCGGACCTGGTCAGTTGGGGGTGTGGCCTAGCATCTCTTGTAGCACCCCGTCCGAGTGAAACTGTGCCTTGACCAACGAATATCGCGTCTAGCCTATGATGTACGTTTGGACATCCGGTAGGACACCTCCAACCACGCTGAGTCGATATTGCAAAGAGCCAAACATCGCAGATATCACACAATACATGGATATCACACCGTGACTCACCAACCAAACACCATGTAGCAGCCCGACATGGATTTTGTGTCTATCGCATTCGATTGACGGGCATGAGGTGGTAATACTGCGCTTATATGTGGCCTTGGTATGCTCCCGCAACCTCTCCGCGAGGTTGCTTGGCAGGAATGAAAGTCCTGCAAGATGACTGAGAGGCTCTGGATGTGATGGGTCAGTTGCGCGTTTCGCTCGGATCTACATATCTACACAGTGGATTGTTCCGACATGCATGGAGACGGTACGGATATCACTCGATACGGAGCAACGAAATGTGGACGTTCCAGATAGAGATCCGTACCTCGCTCGCTTGTGCTGGCAGACCGACAGGTAACCGACCTTCCCCGCTGGGCATCCCCCGCCTTTTTTCTCTCTCGGGCCTGCCTCATCCTAATGAGATACGATATTTCCAATAATGCACTTGATTCTGAGAGTGGCAAAATTCTACCACCAGCGGGTCGGCCGGACGGCCTCGACATTTTCCTGCAGCGAAGCCGAAATAAACGACCACCTAAGGAGCGTCGCCGCTTTCCTTCCTACTAGTTTGGTGTTCTGGGGGGGGTGTCAATCTTTTCCACTTCATGCCTGTGGGCACGGCGTCTCTTCTACCGGACATACGTCAGTTCACGCGCACGTAGAACTGAGCTAGGTGCCTTGCATGGCACTGGGAAAGCTTGCGAAGACGGATCCATTTTCTTGACTGGAATCGCAGTGAAAACCGATGCCGGCTAGCGGCCAACGACGTCACACTAGTCAACAACAAGAACACTATTCTTCGGCCAACGGGATCTACTCACCCAACGTGCGCGCCCCACAGGCCCTGCAACAACAGAATAAAAATACCACACTCTACTCAAATCACTCCTACAATTTCACAAACACAAACGAGCACACACTAAAAGACGTCGACAAGCAAACAACCATCCCTACCCGTGCTGCGAGCTCAGCAAACTTCGGACTCGTTTCACCGGTATTGTGGGCACTATTGATACGTTCCAGGCTCCCACCGCACTCAACGAGCACATAACACGGTCAATACAACCCTCAGTCCGAAGTCTAACATTGTCGCCACATATCGTCCCCGGTCTTCTCTACCTGTCCCAGCGAAGAGAAGGGTTTCCAAAAAAACAGCAACAACGAAAAACTTACATAGTCTCATGCTTCGCTTCACGGACAGGGGAAGAGAGCGCACCCTTACCATAGATCGACAAGAGTGATAAACACAACGTACGAAGAAAAACAATTGAGGTCGTGAGACACTCCTGCATTACGTAGCCATGGCTCGATGTGTTGGTCACTGCAGAGCGGAAAGCAGAAGAGTGATGTTAAACATGCACTGCAATTAGCTGCAATACATGCTAGCCTTCTCTCAAGTTATTCACATCGATGATGACCACCCTATGCCGTAGAGCGAAACGGCGATAGCAATATCGTACCAAAAAAAATGTCGGGCTATCCCCGACGCTATCTATCCCCACTCGGCCGCATAATTTCCTCGCCGGAAGCTCGTCTTTCAACCGACTAAAACCCACTCCCTCGCTCCAGACCCCCATCCTTACAGACAGTGAAGTAGAAACCATTTCTATTTCCAGGTCCGAAGCGACCGAAACACAGCCGTTCTCCCTGCCTGAAAGTGTTCTGGTTGTCCAAGAATTTTACTTCCAAGACCCCTCCATTTTCGCCGGCCTGGAGACAATCGGAACGACTGCTGTGCATACATGTCGCAGTGGACCCGGGCAGCTGGAGGGATGCGGCACCGTGTCCAGAAAAAAATAGTGCGCCCTAAGCACAGCGGGTCTCGGCTTATTGCCATACTTTAGGGCCCGTGGAGAGCGGGAGGCCCGGCAGCACCCCGGCAGTACCGACCAAATAAAACTGCGACGGCAGGGACACCCCCCATCCTTGAAAAGTAGACGTGCCAACGGCCTTGCGGGACTACTGCTGTACCTCTCTGGTGGCGCCATAGTCACATGACATCGCGTTCGAACCCAAATTCTCGGGGCGGCGCTCCGCTCCATCTATTGGATATGCAGCGGCAGCAGGGGCGGGGGGGGGGGGGCTACGCTGCTTCTCGTGGCGCCGGGGGTGGGCGGTCGCGCGCGTCCCGTTTCGTCTGTGATCCCGGCAATCCATCAATGCCTGTACCTTCGTCGGCTACATCCCCCTGGTTCTGAACAGCACCCGTAGAACCACCGTCGGAGCGTGTGCCTGCTTCTGCTGCTGCTGCTGCTGCTGCTGCTGCTGCTGCTGCTGCTGCTGCTGCTGCTGCTGCTGCTGCTGCTGCTGCCGCCGAGGGCGGGAGCGGGAGCAGCCCTTTCCCGACCGATTCCAACGGCAACACGTCCACGATGTTGTTGGCGAGGGGGGAGTAGCCGCAAACCATTGGAAGCAACGGCGGCGGCAGGCCGTTCGCCGTGAGCCATCTGCTCAGCTTCACGTGCCTGCGGGAAGCAAAACACCGTGATGGAAATCGTGGACAAGGCATGCTTGGCGCGTCATTTCGAAAGAACAGAGACGACACGGGCAGCACCCCAACGTTGGGTACATCTCTAGCAAAGAGCCAGCAGCGGTGCCCCGCCTCGACCGGGATGCCTACGTGGCCAACGGTGATCGTATTGTGGAAAAAACAAAATAAACGCAACCATCCAGATTGCACCCCAACGTGGGACCCTCCCAACTCTTCGAGACCTTACCCGATCTTGAGCTCTTTCAGCAGGGAACGTTCGGCGCTCGTGTCCACGTCGTAGCGGTTGGGAGCGTCTTCCTTTTGCGACCTCACGTCGTGGGTGATCGTCACGGCGTGGTCCCTGCGATGCGGCAAAACAGACGTGCCAGGACACGACAGATCACAGGACCAAGCAACGCAGCCCGCGATGGTTTCAGGCGACAGCAAGCAGCAGCGTCCCGGGATTTTGGGGCGGCAACCGTTGATAGTGATGGGTTGGTTCTCCACGTGGTGTTGACTTTTTCAGTCACTCTTCGTGTGGGCTCGCGACGATAGACGTGCCACGTACTTCGCAGTACAAAAACAAAACTCGAAAGGACGACGACGACGACCGACGTTTCTGTCAAGGATTCTTCTCTGCATGCGTTGTAGGACAGCAGGTCAGAGTAAAGGCGAGAGAGGTTGAAAGCCCCTGCTTGACATTCCTGTCAAGGGCGCTTCTCTGCGTGCTTCGTACGACAAGACAGCATGGTAAGAGTACAAGGCCGAGAGGGTCGAAACTGTTACAACCCCCCCCCTCCGCTGTAGGTTGCTCGCCTGAGCGTGTGCTCGCGACCGTAGACGTTGGAGATCCAGTCGTCAGACCACCAGTTCTTGAACGATAGCGGGAAGAAGCGGCCGAAGATGTCGATGTGAGTCCTGTGATACGTAGGTTTTCAACGATGTCCAGGAAAGGGTTTCGGCTTGGGAGAGGGGCGGGGTTAGGCGAGTGGCGTCGTCAAAATATGTGCGAGTCGTCAGAAGACACAGGAGGAAGTCATCGTCTGTAGCAATGCAAGCACACGCGGGTGTCTTGGTCGCGAAGGTGCCTGCAGGCAGGAGGCGGGGCTAAGCCTCTCGACCGAGGACACCGCTCTGCCAAGCCCCAAAGCGGCCATGAACACAACACAAACCGCAACAAAAATGGCGGCGCGGTTGCGCTCACATTTCCGCATGGAGGAGTACGCCGGGAGCGGAAAGGATCAGACAAGAGACCGTAGCAAAACAATGGGAGGCCATCCGGCACCGTGATCCACATGCCCACCCAAAGCCGGTGGGCAAGGGGCACAAGGCCGACAGCATCAACGACGCCGACAACAACATCTACCTGTGAACAAAAGCGTGCGTGAGGATCCGACGGTTGTTCGTGTCCGCAGGGCCGGTCACGCCCACGTTTCTCCCTAGCGGGTTGTCTCTCAGGGCGGAGGTGAAGACCTCCGCCCAGCCCGGCGTGTTGATGAGGGTGTCGTCGTTGATCTGGTAGAGGTAGTCGCAGCCGTCGTCGTAGGCGTCTTGCATGAGGGCGCTCACCACGTACGATGGCGCGTGCTGGGTGTTGGAGAGAGGGGGAGGGAGTGGTAGAGAGAGAGGGAGAAGGGGAGAGAGAGCGAGAGAGTGAAACGGAGAGAGAGACAGACAGACAGACAGACAGAGACAGCGAGAGAGAGAGACCGCGAGAGAGAATACACATACATACATAGACAGGCCAACAAGAAATAGGTAGGAAGATGTACTTGTAGGGACAGGCAAGAAACATGCAGGAAAAACGGTGAGCGCTGGCGGTCTGCCGAGATAGATTTGTAGCTGTTCATTGCCGCAGCAGAAGGAGTAGCACATCGAATTCTCGCCTACTAGGCGGGCAGAACGGGAGAGGAGCATGGGGGGGTGTGGCTATGTAGTAGGCCCAAACCTACCTCTAGTCGCGATGAACGGAATCGCCAACGGAAACGCTCAAGCATAATCGCCCCACTAGCCGGGTGGCATATAACAGGCGGCTTTACAAAAAGGTGGCTGAGAGGGCGATGCCATCATGCGTGCCTGTAGGAGGGCGTTGAGGATGCTCTCAGTCCTCTCGTCCGCACCCAGTGGTTACACCATATCCCTGAAAAAAAAGGCATAAATACCTCCATTCCCAGGTAGTGCTTAGCCTTGAGCCTCAAGCTGCCGTCACGCCAGCGGTGCTCAACGTCGTTAGCAGTCAAACCTTGCCTTCTGAACTCCTGATCATCAAAAAGCAGAAGAGAGGATTGGAGACACAGACAGACAGACAGACAGATAGACAGACAGACAGACAGACAGACAGACAGACAGACAGACAGACAGACAGACAGACAGACAGACAATACACGTGTTGGGTACCACTCCAGACCAAAGCGACTAAATAGACGTCATGTCATCGACAACCCCAACAGAAGCAAAAAACAAGTGGAAGACAACAAGACGCGGAGGTCGTAAAAGCCCGTTAAGGCACGCAAGAGGAACACTTACCATCAACTTCTCTGGAGCACATTTGGGATTTGTGCGCTTCAGCGGAAACCAAAACACACCACATGTTAGCAGAAGTTATCATGCCGAAGCCTGCATAATAGATGGGCATCAACAACCCTGTAGAGGATTCGTCATGTTTGGAATACTCAAGAGGAAGACAACACACCAGTCAGAGGGGTCAAATATTCGAACACGCCGCTTGTGGGTCGGACGGCCTCCTCAAACAGAAACCACTACACTTTTTATGTCCCTAGGAACGACATTACTTCTCTTTCCCCCGTCGATACATCAGGCGCGCCTCCTCCCTTACCTCTATCGCAAGCTTGCCAAATTGCTTGTGGAGGTGCGCAGCAGCGCCAGCGGCATCGTAGATTGGGTCGCCGGCATCAAACCCGAAGTACCTGCACACGAAAAATGCACAAAACAATTCACATCGAAAATCCTTTACGGAAAGGCAAACGAAGGGCAGAGAAAATGGTGCTGGCCGGCGTGATGGTTGCCCGGCGTGAATGCCGGTAGATCTGATTGGACAACCGGTGAGTTCTGACACTCCCGCAAGAGAAACGAACCAAACTGCACGAGAAGAAAGGGCAAAGCATTATCAATCACAACCAAGACATTCGCGCCGAAAGTTCATCGTCTCACCAGTGGAACCGGAACCTGGGATGCCCAAAGTCCGTGCTAGACAGGAACGTGCTGAAGGCGTGCGTCCACACGGGGCTGTCGTAGGGGGAGTTCATCAAGGTGCCCCGGCTGGTCATCGGGATGCACACGGCGATGGTTATTCTCTTCCTGTTGTTTCTTCTCTCCGCGTCGCGCTCCGCCGCCTAACGAATGATCGGCGATGAAAATCGCGGAGGGTGCGTCTTGTGAACATGTGTGCGTTACACGTTCGGTCATAGTATGCGCCGACGGTACATGTCGGATCGGCAGGGGGGGGAGTTACCACTCATGTGTCGCATGCCTCATTTGATCAACCATTGACGACGTGTTCTCGACGGGACGGAGCAGTGTTCCCACAGGACCGATTACCGATGGTCAATCGTTCCTAGGGAGCACTAGAGATATGGGGGAAGGAGGTAAGAGGCCCGTAAGACGGCGAATCTCGTCCAGCAACAGAAGCCAGCGGAAGACGGGGGGTAATAAAACAGAGTGCGTGTCTTGGTCGCATGATGGGTAGGTGACGTCATGGGGTTCCAAAGGGGAGTGGCAATGACCACCCCCCGGGACCAAAACTGGGTTGCGAGGAAGTCTGAAACAGTCAGCGCTTGGGGCTAGCGAAAGAACCGGATACAAAAAACACGCTAGTCCGGATTTCTCTTGGTATCGGCTTCGATGGAGGATATTACTAACGCATCGGCCGCGATGCCCTCGCAGATGGTATTACATGGGCCTCGATGTACTCGTCGGCCTCTCGCTGTTGCCTGTAGTTCACTGCTCTCGACACGTCTCGCAGAAGCCTCGCTCGCTCGACGGCCTCGTGGGACACCTGCGGCACATAGAGACGATGGCGTCGCAGTGGCCAGTCAAGAGAGCGAAACTAAGAAAAAACACCACAAAGACAATGGAGGTAAACACGTTCACGCCGCTTGGTGCACGCATGAAGAGCAAGCAGCAGTAAGGGGGGCGTCCACGCCACACTTTGGTCCATGCCAGACTCTGCCTACGGCGAGTTGATCACGGCTCTAACGATGTCAGCGTGAGACACAACATGAGAGAGAAAGCAGAGAGAAGGAAGACAGCCAACCCCGGAGTCAGCGGCAAAGAAAACAAGCGGCCAGCGGTTGCCGGCCGACATCCACCACACGGAACTTGAAGGTTTGAGCTTCAGAAAAAAAGTGAGAGAGCGGAGGGTGGTCCAAGGGATGAAAACCATGGCAGGCACAACGTGCCCGTTCACGTCGATCGGTGTCTTGCCTGGTCGAAGATGAGTTGGTACGACTCCTCGTTCTGCCACAAGTACTCTCCCACGAAGCCCTTCACCTCCGCCTTCGACAGTCAAGGGAGGGGGAGGGGGGGAGGATGATGAGGACGAAGACGAGGGAAGGGGAGAAGAGAATCGGTGGAGTGAGAGTGAAAAAGGGCAGAGCGCCTCGCCGAAACATAGGATAAGACAGCGGAGGAATGCCACGTACAAGACAAGAACATGTACTGGACGATGAAAAAGAGATACCCCGAACTACGAGGTAGCTGCATGATAAATAAATACGCTGGGCTCTTCTCGGGCTAGCCCGTGAAGACGGACCATGACCGGCTCTTCATACGTGCGCAGCAAGAACAAGAACAAGAACGAGAACAAGAACGAGAACAAGAACAAGAACAAGAAGAACAACAACAGCAGCAGCAGTCGCAGCCATGACATAACACAAACAGCAACAGCAACAACAACAACAACAGCAGCAGCAGTCGCAGCCATGACATAACACAAAACAGCAACAACAACAACAGCAAGAACAGCAGCAGCAGCAGCAGCAGCAGCAGCAGCCATACCCATAACACAAACAACAACAACAACAACAACAACAACAACAACAAACAAGGCCTGCTCACTTCTGCCCCAGCCCCAGAGCACGAGAGGTAGCCGTGCATGACCTCGCTGTACACCATACCGTCGCGCATCTGGAACACCTCCGGCAGGCCAACCTCTGGCGCTCCGACCTGCAATAACAGGGAATGAATAATCAAAGATCTCGCCGAGCTCCTAAAAGGGTACCAAGTGGAGGTTGCATCATGGCAACCCCTTGTGCGCATGCAACACTGGCGAAGACGACATGCTATTTGAAATTCCATACGCGTGTTGATACGGCAAACAAGCTTGAGAGTTGGACATGCGAAGAAACTCCCTGGGCTAACTCTTGACGTGCCACAGGCTGCGGCGGCAACGACGACAAAGACAAAGATCAATCAACGCTTTCATAGGAACGACTCGCCCCGGCGTCCAGTCACGTGTAACGGACGGGAAAAAATGATAGCGGCAACGACCACAAGTCATCACGGCAGCAAAACACACCTATCGTATCAGCCCGGCCAGAAGAAACAACAACAACAACAACAACAACAACAACAGCAGCAGCAGCAGCACCACCACCACCACCGCCAAAACAACAATACCACCACCACCACCAACAACAACAACAGCAAGAACAACAACAACAACAGCAACCCAACAGACCTCGAGTGCCCAGACAGTCCAATCGCTCCACCCGGTGGTAGGAGGCGGGGGTACCACCCGCAGGAACCTTCGGTTGGAAAAGGCCCGCAGGGCAAATCTTCCCTCACCGAGCTCGATCTATCATATGCACAGTAGCGATTGTGCAATCAGGACCAAGGCTGCTCGTCGTTGTTTCGCCAAAAAAGTGAATCTGCTGTTGGACTGACTTTGTGTTTAGCTGCTGCTGATATGTGCGCAGCAAAGTTTCCGGCTTCGCTTAGTGAAAATATGCAAACCTTTCACAACGGGTTTTGGTAGTGAATCCTCTCGCCGAGGGGGAAGAAGCGTGTGTGAGAGGCGTCGAACCACGGTAAACTGACGTCATCAACAGTGACGCAGGTCGAGGACGCGAAAACAGCCGAGACCCTGGCGAAACCGATTGTGCTCGCCTTGAGCGTATTTCCACCGGAGACTAGATGTGTCGCTGTTTCGTCTACAATACAGAAATATCGCCGCCACGTACATACAGAGTGGACTTGACAGGAGTTAGGCGAGCAACGCTTATAAAAACAAGGCAACGAAGCCAAACCTTGGTCAATCTGCTCCAAAAGCCGTGTGAGAGGAAACGAAAGCGTGGCCGAGCGGAATCGAGAGTGAATCAGAGTCAACGAATTGGCGCCAGGCGAGGCAACAAGGAAGCAGTATAAAAAAACTCAGTACAGACCGAGAGCGAACCTAGGAAGCCCCGAGTGTGCTAAGCGCACCACCCTAGCTCAAGTGTTCTCGACGAGACCACGAGGCCGTGAATGATACGGTCCGGAAAAGAGCCACATGCAGAAAAGCGGAAAACTGGGGTGAAACGACGTTTTGGGGTTCGGATCTTGTTGGAATCTCGAGTGTGGTAGTCGAGACGACGGCAGGCGCTACGCACCCCGAGACCTTCCTCCCTAATTGTTTCTCTGCTTTTCCGATACGAGACGAACGTGTCAAGCGGAGCAAAAGAAGGCTATCCGCGAAGTGGCCATTGCAACTGGAGCGTGTGAAGTAAACTGCGTCTGACTGACATAGTATCGATCGGGTGTGAGTGGGGCAGGCAAGCATTGACCGTTCCTGGCGAGGTGTCCCGCAACGGAATGGGCGGTTAACGCGGAGTGGAATGGTAGGGTTGTTGAAGCGGAGGGCGGATACCTAGCAAAGTCTGGGTTGGACGTCGGGGCTAGGAAGAGGGGCAGACCGGATGAAAAACGCAACGCTTGCTGGCTGGGGTGTGGAGTGAAAGGCACACTCACAAGAGGTTGGTTGGTCCGCCAGGAACTACCACACTAACCGCGCCAGGAGCGAAAAACGTATGAAGCGAGCAGCACCTACCTTGGTAGTACAGGCGTTGAGTTAAAACCACATCACGCAAGAGAATCGACACTAACCTCGCCAGAAGCGAAAAGCGTATGAAGCGGGCAGGCAGCACCTACCTTGCTAGATGAGGTATGGAGTGAATCACACACACGCAACAGGATGATCGCCAGCAACGACACCTCTACCACACTAACCTCGAGCGCATGCAGCGAGCAGCAGCTACCTTGCTAGTACTGTACAGTTGTGGGATGAAAGGCACACCCACAAGAGAATCGCTAGCACCGACACCTAAAAAGCAACCAACCTTCTCGAAGAGCGCGTGGGGGTCCAGCGAAGTCGCCGCGGAGTAGACCTTGCAGCCAGCTTCCGCTGAAGCTACCATCGGGTGCATGCCCACCTGGCGTATCAGTCAGCGGGTTGTTACGCTTCGCTCTGTGGTACGATAGTCGCGCATCTTAAGTCAATTCCCCGCTATAGGGGCACAAAAAATCTCGTAAGTAGGGTGCCCGGCAGATATACAACATACAAAGAGGGGTACCGTTACTGAAAGACGACTCCCCGCGTGAAACACGCTTTGAAAAAGAAAAAATATGTGGGTCTTCATAGCGGGGACGATTGTTCACGATGGTGCCGTCATCATTCATAGCGGGGGCGGTTGTACACGATGGTGCCGTCATTCTCATCAGCCCCTCAGCAAAGAGAACCGGCACACACGCCCAGACTATTATATTCCCGACGAAATGGCTGTGGTTGAAAACACAACCAGGGTCATTCATGCAACAAAATACAGCTAGCACCCGCGCACTCAAGAACCCCTAGTTTAGGCCGAGGTGGGGATCTTAGTTCCTCTTGGGGGCTACAAAAATGGCCTCTACATAGGTTTTAGGGTAGGGGTTCTTAAACACGGGTCACTGATGGTGCCCCAACTTCTTATGTTTTTATATCATGTTGAGTATTCGTAATTGCCAAATGGTCATGTGCAGGCGGTATTTGTTGACCCCATGCAGGGCTCCACGCCGAAACCGTGACCGCGTGTGCCACCACCGCCGTTGGTACAAAACGGTTGGTGTCCCGTGTTGCTCGTGTTTCCCTGTGCGAACGGTCAGCCCCTCTACCACAGGTCGACGCGGGTTCAGGCAAAGCCTCGAGTGGGAGCAAAGCATCGACAGAGACATGAGTCAGTGTCGCTAATGACCCAGCTGGACAACTACATGAACGCTCTGCCCATAAACAGATGAACTCGCGTGACTCTCGTGAAGCGAGTTGATAAATGTGCCAAAGCCTCATCTTGTCGAAAACTGAGTTAATGAGGGAAGAGGGGCAAGACCGCTAGGCAGGCAGGGCCGAACCAACAGTAGCAAAAGGGGCGAGAAGCAAAAAAATCAAAACAATGTCGGCAACACTTGTGCCGAACTGCACATGAACGCGCGGAATGGCCTGAGCACCCACCTGCACATACACGTTCGGTCTCGTGGCGCACGAGATGGCGACCACGCGATTCAAGTTCTCCTCCTCCGCAAAGACCTTGGAGAACGAAACCGCCCTGGACACCCCCCCCCCCTCCTCTTCCCCCTCGGCCCCCCTTGGCGCACCGTCCCCGGTCCCACCTCCTCCCCCGCCAACCCACGCCGCCGCAGCCTTGGCAGCTTTCGGGATAGAGAAAACGCCGCTGTGCTTGAGGTCGGGTAAAGGGGTGTTTTTCAGGGTTTCTAGGAGAACGGCCATCCTGGCCCGCTGGTTGAGGGTCTGTTTCGCGAGGTCCTCTAGGCGCCATCCGAGGTTCCAGTGCTCCTCGTCGTCTACGACGGCGCGCATGTAGAGCTTGTCCCACCGAAGCTGTGCGATTTGTTTTCGGGCAAGAGGGAGAGAAGGAGAAGACAGAGAGAGAGAGAGAGAGAGAGATGGGAGGAGAGGGGGGGTATTCAAGGGGAAACGATAACCCCAGCAAATACGCACACAGGAACACGGGAAGCATGCACACGTGCACACGCACACGCACATACGCACACAGAAAATGTTGCTTCCAGAACGGAAGGGTATTCTTATCACAGAAAGCAGATAGGTCTTCGCAACCGGAGCATAAAATGGCTTGATCTTCCCGCGTCCTGAATCTCCGCGAAAAGAAGGGGGGGCTCGGTGTGAAACCTGCCGATATCTTGGACCATGCGAGGCGGAGAGAATTCAGGGACAGAGACGGGGAGGTTTCCCGCAGCGGGGAAAATGGACACGGAGAAGGAGGCGCGAAGGGCAAGACACACCGCCGGCAACGTGGAGGCTAGGACGGTTCTGCAAAAGAGCAACCCGAAGGAAGGGGTGCTTCGAAGACCAACCTGCCACGCTCACCTCGCCGCTGATGCGCCTGTTCTTCATCACGTTCACCAGCACGAGCAGCACTGGAAAGAAAAGCACAGCTGCCAACCCGATCCAAACCTGCCAGACCAACATCCACACTGCACGTGTCAAGTCAAGGGCGACTGGGGGGGTTCCGACACAAGCTTTGCCCACTAACGACAACGATCGAGAAGAACAAGCAAGAAGGCTGACGATACGCAGCGAGAGCGCCGTCTTGTGACTCAGCTCGTTCATGAATATAGCAGCATGGGAATTGAGCTCGGAGGGTACCGAAGAATCAAAACAGGGCACCCACTACAAATGCAGTACATACCCCCCAGGGTGAACTGTCATGCAGCGCGGAGTTGGCGTTTACAAACCCGCGACTAGCAGAGAGGAATGGACTTTGCAACAGACTCCATGCAGGAAAGGAGTTTTACACGTAGTTTGTCAGAGGCATCAGTGGCGTGAGAGCAACACCATGGCCATGAAGAACTGTGCCGACGCCGTCAACAACAATCACGACGCAGCGATACAACGCTTGCGCCGTGTTCTTGGTGCTTTGGATGCAAGACCATTGTCATTTGGCGGCATTATTCCCCGACATGCTGTGAACGGGCAGTCACCGAGTGGAGTTGTTCGCGAAGTGTTGCCACACCACCACGACAAGTGGCTCTATTTCGTCTCTGTAGTAATAGGCCCGCTCACTGCCATCTGATGTGTGCTGCGTGTTGGCTGAGGCGCGGCGGCGGATCTTTCGTGCGGGCTGTTGGCCGGAATACCACCTTCTCAGGTTTACGTACCCTCCCGAGTTGGCCTTGGCGGCGATTAAGTGCTTGCGAGTAGCGCGCGGAATGCCGTCTAGTGGATTATTGGGACGGATCGGCCGCGTACCACAATGATCATTCCGCAGGATCTCGTGTGGCCATTCGGTGCTGCACGCTCACACGGGCTTACAGCAGTAGACTAGTCCCTGTTGGAAGCTAAGAAAACAGCCACATGTACTTACTGCCGTAGTTGTGATTCCGCTCCCTTGTTTCTTACCGTATCTTGATCCCTGGTACCGAAGAACCTCGGCGTCCTTTGCAAAGGATTTCCTCGGCGCTGATGGATGTGACGACGAACGTTCTTGCTGTTGCCCGTACTGCCAGCATCTCGTGCTCCTCCTCCTGCCCCTGCCGGCGCACGGTGGGGTTGCCGCGTCCCTTGCCGGAGCTGCAGCTCGACGTCTTCGGCGGGTGCTGCGGTTGGATGTCTTCGCCACGGGCGCCACATGATGGAGCCCCGCATATCAGCTCTTAGGCTCCGAATCCACGACGGGTAGCGTAGCCACCGCACAAAGGCACACTGCCCGCCGCGAGTGGTGGTGTGGTTGACCGCCGGCAGCCGGCAGCAACACAAGCAAAGTCGTGCGGGGAGAAGGTTCGCTGTTACATAATCTCGCCGCATTCGGGGGGGGTACTGTAGTGTCGCGTCGCCCCCCGAACATTCTTGCTTACCGCACCGCACACCTCCCTCATACGGCATCGACCTCTAAGGGGCAAGACGCACACTCGCTCCTTGTCCAAGATATGTCGGACGCTGCCATGAAGGTTGATCCGGATTACTACAATAGAAGTCTGCTCGAGACGGACACCCGCATGGATCAGTCGAGAAGGGCAGCAGCAACAGGAGCAGGAGGTGCTCATTCTGCCCCGTCCTCTTGGGGTGCCGGCGGAGGGGGCGTCGGAGGGGGCAGTGTTGGCGGAAGAGGAGGCTTGCCTGACCTGCCCGACTACCTTGTGCGGCAGCACTCGCTACTCGGGTTGTATCTGTCGCTCAATCCGGGAGATGAAGGTGACTCTGGAAATATCTGCGATTATATTGCTCGACACTAAAATGAGACTCCGGCGAGAACAAAAACTGTCCGCAAATGCCGATGTCAAACCAAACGTTTGCACGGCTAGATTACGCACATGCCCCGGAGACGTAATAGACCACGACGGTTGTGGGCAATAATGAGTGAACACGGGGTAGCTTTAATGGCTTGCCCACGAGGCACATTGAAGGTGTACCAATGATAGATTGCCAGTTATTTCCAAAATAGGTACAAGTAGATTAAACTCTAAAATGGGCATCTTGCATGGAGCCACAGCAGTAGTAATGCATGGTATGTCACCTGCTATTAGGCTATTAGTGTACATGATGCCTGCAAAGATTGCACGACTGAGAAAACACGACTGGTGTGTTCATCTTGCAGTACTGCCGCTGTACATGAAACTTGTGAAGACTGCACGTCGAAAGCACGCCCGAGAGACTGGCATGCACGAAGGTTCTTGCCGGTTGCAGCTCCAACACCGAGGCAACTGCTATGGGGTGTCCGCAACGCTAACGTGAACAGGTCTTTTTGGGGTACATTTAAATGTCGTGACATACTGTAGTAGTCGATATGAGGGTCACCGTTCCAGGCAGGACGTCCGTGGCACGGGCAACTGAGGCGTATTTTTCTCTGCCAGTCATGCTCCGCGTGGCACATTCTAGTCTTCTTCACTGCTGTTGTTCATGTTACCCTCAAAGAGTTACCTCGGTTGTTCAACCTCTCGCACCAGACTTCCTACCATCATCGCCTATTGCTTGTCCTCTCCCCTCCCGCCTGCCCCCGCTCCGCTTCTGTTTCTCGGCCGCCGATCTCTCTCGGTACGCAGCCGACGCGGAGCGACACTGGGGCTTTCCGCAGCACCAGCGCGCGGCCCTCGTGGGCGCGACTGTAGTGGTACCGCTCCTGCTGGCCGTCTTCCTCACTGGCAAGTCTTTTTCTTTTTGTGGCTTCTGTAAATCAAGTCCGCCTCTCAGCGGTGGTCGCGTGATGCATGATCAGACTTGTACGTGCTTTTAGTTTTTCGAGCGATGGCGCGTGTTTTTGTCGCGGGTGCCATCCCTCGCTCGTTGTTTGCCCCTCTTGGTTGGGTGCTGGTGCCCCTGCCAGCATCCGCGAAGCTCCCAGGCACCGCTTTGGACGACATTGATGAGACGGAGTCAATGCGGCGTCGTTGTTGAGTCGTTGCAGCAGTTACCGTATCAACCGTTGCACCGACGGTGTTGCCGCGTCCATTGGCCGGAGCATTCCGATTCAATCGAACAGCATGCGGTAGTTCGTTTGCATGGCACCTTCAAACCATTCAATTGAACAGCATGCGGTATTTTCGTGTGCATGGCACCTTTTTAAAAGTCTTGTACCGTGGCAGCGTACTATTTTTATGTTGGATATGTTTCGCCCTCCTCGACCTCTGTTTGCTCCGTGCAATGGGTGTTGCCCTGCCTGTGGCCGCGTCCCTCATGCGTCCCAGCTTTATTTTTTCCCGTCCCCTTCCCCCGCCCTCGTCCTGTCGTTCCAGGGTCTTGGCTGTGGAAAGCAAGCGTGATCGCGGTGGCAACCGTGGGCGCCCGGCTGGTGCTAAGCTTCGCTCTGGCCACGGTGAGAACAGAAGAGTGACGACGGGAAGGGTGTTTTTTGCCAGCTGGCTGGGAGTTGCGAAAGCCTTGCGGTCTGGGAGCGGGTTTGCTCCACTGTCGTTCGCCTCGTAGTAGTAGTATAGCCGTGTCCCTGAGAAAGGGCGTGGGGGAAAGGCTCATGCTTGTTGCTTTCCGCTGAGGTAATGTAGCACACAACTTATTTGATTTCCCCGCCTCATCTCGCACGAGACGTGGTCTAGCCCCACATGCACCGAGCTTATGCAACGCAGTCGATGTATTTATCAATGCATTGGTTCGCCTGCTGTGGGTTGATGGGCACGGCGCTATGGTACATGCTCGCGGAATGTCTTATGTACGCCAGACGATTTAACCGGGTGTGACCTTTCGAGTCTAGGCTTGAACTGAAAACGGCTAAAAGCCTGCACGGTACGAAGCCCAAACTCCAGTTTTGTTTGTTCCCAGCGGTTAGGCAGAAACGAAACTCCAACAACAACCGCCGCAACGACAACATCTCGACCCTTCGCCGCCGTCCGCCGCCCGCGCGTGACCACCACCGTACTGTCAGTTTCCGGACATCGAAGTCCCCTTTCAAGGACACGTTCTGGCGGTGTGGCCACACTTCACCATCGGCACGTTGGCCGTCATGGCACTGATCTGGTTTGTATGGTAAGACCATCAACTCCGATGGCTGTCGAATTTTTGTATTTTGACGCCGTGTAACCGCACGCACCACCGTGGTGTTTCATGTGGCATTTATTCGTCTTGGAAAAGGTGCTTGACATGTGAGACACCGTGCTCGGTGTAGCGAAGCGTGCTCGTGCGCCATTTTCCGCAATGCCTTCGCTGGTTTGCTTGTCGTGTTTCCCCCCTGCGAGCACGTGTGGAAGGAACCGGCGTTGTGATACGGATGAAGCGAATCCTGCCTGCTTGAGCCAGGCATCGTGCGTTGACTCCTCTCCCCCGTGGGGACGTTCACCGTGTCGTTTCCAAAGCACCTCCTGAGTATCATGTCTGAAATCTCGCGCACCTTCCGCAGCGCGGCTGCATCGGGGACCGGTTGGAGCACGCTATGGCTGGCTTTCACTTCGCTCCTGCTCCTTGCTTGCGCAGAGGCTGGTCTTCGGGGAGGCATGTAAGAGCGCGAGTGTAGCCCCATTATTGCTACGGCGGGCACTATGCACGAAGCAGCATGCGTATGTGCGCAAGCAGTAGTCAGTTGTGTGGCACGGGCGTTGGTACAGAGTTGCGTGAGACGAGCAGTATGTCTTACTTCTCTGTACAAGTATTGTGTGTGTGTTTTTTCGGTTTGTAATCAAGAAGGCGGCCGAACAATGCAGTGGTGGCATGTCGGAAAGTCCATCCATCGTCGATCAGAACAGTTGTATAGTAGACGGCATCCCCCTCCCTCAGCCGTTCACTCTCGAAGGTTGGTCTAGAGATTGGGACGGAGTATCCCCGACCTCGCACTATATTACCTACACCCGCCCCGCCGGGGGGGGTCTCGACGCCCAATTCTTCCTCAGCGAAACCGCCGCAGGGGCTGTGAACAATACGTCGTTAGGAAAGAGTCCCTCGAGTTCCTAACACCACACCGTGTTCAGCGTCAAGGCCTTGCCCCTTGCGATCGGCCGAGCGTTGAACGTCGGGTCCGTTTCCGATACTGTACGATCCGTTTTCCAGGTGGCACTTCCAGTGGTGGGAGCCCGCCACTCGTTTCTCTTTCCTGAAGCCATGGGGAGACGCCTACGGCCCGGTTGCTACTGGGCCCGGGAGAGGTGGGGCTGGGTTCGGGACCCCGCAACCCAGTTCGTACGCCCCCCCGCGCCCCATGGCGTCGTCAGCACCAGCGCCAGCACCTCGACAAGCAGAACAGCCGTACCGCAGCCCCAGCGGCAGCGGCGGAAGCGAGGGTGTTGCCGTTGGCAGCGTCGGCGGTGACGGGGGTGACGTGGTTGGGTCGGGGGGAGTGAACGGGGGCAGCCCCGCTGCCGCCGTGGTTGCCCAGAAGGAGGAGAGCTCCGGCTTGTTGGAAGAGAACAGCAAGGAGATGGGGGACCTCGAGGACATCTTCTCGGAATCTGTCTAGGCTGTTGAAAACATACATGCACTATTAATATGTAGAAGCAGCAGCAAGCGCACCAACCTGCTCGCGAAAGGAATCCTGTGGGCGCGTTTCCTATTTTTGGAGGCGACGGTGGAGGTGGGGTTCGGGACACGTGGAAGCTCTCCGGTGCTGCGCTTACTGATTGAGCCGATGAGAGTTTTGTTGAGTTTTAGAACATTAGGCATAGCGCGACTGGTGGTGGGCGCGTCCATCCTGAAAAACAAATGATCGAGGGCAGTGGAGTGCGCGAGTAAGTCACCACATGAACAGCGACGAGGTCGAGAAGAGCGCGTGGTGGCTCGCGGCCCGGGGTTTGTTTGCGTGTTTATGTTTTCGCAGGTTTTGCGAGGGGATACGCTTGCACGTAAAGCAACGCGGGGTCACGGCGGTGGTCAGGCATGTCGCTGTCGACAAGTGCGACTTGCGAACCTTGACCACCTGCCCGTGGGAGGAGTTAGCAAAGCCCTTGATACCAACCTCAAAGAAACACGTGTGACCCCAACTGGGCTTGGTACGTTTCTTTCCTCCGTTCTGTATACTTAGATACTGTACAGGTGGGACACGGGTGGTGCTGTTTTTGCATGGGGCGACGAGATTTTTTTTCAGCAGTCGGCTTGCGATACATCTAACAAGGCTGGTGCTGTACACCATGGAAACGCTGAAGTAGACGTTCCAGCTCTCACATGCCGGTGATTGTTTGTTATCCTAGACAAAGAGTGAGAGGGCGGCCCTGTTTACTTCGTAGTTGGTCTTCCAATTATCAAACTCTTTTCAGCTGCATCATGTTTGGTCTCGCATTGCAAGGGGTCTGTGTGGGAGACAATTTTCGCGAACCCGTACAGGTTGGTAGGGCTGAGGGATGAAGCATCTTCTGCGGTGCCCCAGAGAAGGACCAAATGTCAATGGAAAATCAACAGGATCACCGTCACCGCTACTACCATCGGTGTGCAGGAATGCTGAACGCCACAAACGCCATGGGCACCGCTGTTGCCACGCGAAAAAAATACCACCACCACCTCATCCGGGCGAAAAGAACAAACGTAAAACTGAGGAAGGGCCCTCGTACGAACCAGACAACACACGCCAAGGAGCGGTGGTAGCGGCTTGGGCCGGCGGCGGGCAGAGGCATGTCTTCCCTCGCCTTTGACGACCTTCAAACGCTGGGGGTTGTACCCGGCATTGCGGGGTCTCGGTCCAAGCAGCGGCATCAGGAGGTCGTGCAATGATTTCGATACCTGCTAATCTCGTCTGTTGTAGAACTGAACCAATTCTTGGGATGTAACAAGTCAGCGTCACAAAAAAAAAAAAAAAGTACAGAATGAGGCAAGGCCTGATTGCCTCTCCACCTGGGCGTCCATCTCGCATGAAACGCAAAAAAAAACACCCCAAGGTCAAATCGCAGTTTGCAGAGCGAGGAGTACGGGAGCAAGCGTGCTGCATGCAAAACCACACCGTGGGCGGGTCGGGCCGATGACAGCACGATAGTTCTGAATGATACGTACTCAACTGGCGCACGCTTGATGATGATTTCCAGGAATGAAAAAAAATGCAACATAAAGCACACAAAACTAAGAAGGCAAGACGACGACTAAAACAAAAAAAAAAACATAACAACAAGCCAGCCGAAATCTTCTTTTTTTAGGTCCAAGGCTCAACCAACCAGCCCAGGAGTGTGCAACAAAAACACCAACCCGATCCAGCAACGTAAAACAACAGGGCACGGGAGCAGCAGCACAGCATACAAGGAGTGAGGCGGGAGTCAGAAAGACCCCGGTATTGTCAACAAAACTCTATGATAAGAGCTAGCGCGCCGCGCCCCCTCGCCCACCCGCAGGGCCGCCGACTGGACCGGCTCCGTCGGTCGACATCTTCTTCATGATCTCGTTGAGCTTCGCGTCTCTCTGCTTCTCGCTGGCCATGATGAGCTCCGTCAAGCGAGAGGTGATGCCGGTCTTCTCCTTGACTTTCGCTGACAGCGCCTGAAAAAAAAAAAAACAAACACGCGGGGTCGACTCAAGTTAAGCGTGGAGTGACGTGCCGTGATTCTCACTGGCAACTGCTGCAGACAGCAATCGACTTACGTATACATTGAACGCACGAAAAACAGACGAGACGCAAGGTCGGGGATGTTTGCCAATGACCGTTGCCGACAGCAACGTCGGCATAAATCACGAAGGCACATAAAAAAAACGCACAGGTTTAATTCGATGCAGTGCTGTTTCCACCCAGTACACAAAGAACGACAATCACGTCCAGCCGTTTTCGACAAGGTTTGACACACACTCAAACACTCAAAACACACTTGGAGCACAAAATGCTCCGAAAGAGGGCTTCGCTTATCGACGTGTAGGCACATAAAAACACCACACAACTATTCGATGCAATGCCGCTTCCACCCAGTAAACAGAAGGTTGTCGTCAGAGAAAGAGGTACATTGCAGAGGCCACACCAATCACGGTCCTCAACCCGCCCCGGCCTCGCCCCGGCCTCACGGCGGCACCAGGTTCATGCACGATTCGGGCGCCTGAATCCCAGAACTATTTCTGCAGTTCCTCACCGTGCGAGCCTTTTCAAACGCCTCTAGTTTTTTCTGAGCATCGCGATCCAGGAATGCCAGCTCCCTGTCCACCACCTCCAGCCTGCGGGGCCGCCGGCCACACCGAGAAAGAAGAGAAAAGAAAAGAAACGCGAGGGGGCTCGGTGGGGCCATAAAGGATGATTATCCTGCTGTCGCTGTGGAAATATACTTGTGCTGCCGGCTCGCAGTAAAGCGCAGCGCGTGTAGCAGTCGACGAGGCGCAAAACTGTGGGTGGTGCGAGTACAAAACATTGAGTTCGCCTGGGGACTGGAACAATCTATCACTTTGCTTGCTTACTGCTACTGTCTTCGCCAGCGCAACCGAGTACACTACATATGAGGAGACTCAAGACCGGATGCAAGCAAGAATGCCACCGGACCGGCGGACAAGCACAAGGCGACAAATTTGATGGGGCCTTCGTGAAGGGCGCCTAGGTTGCGTGCGTGGTCCTGTGTTGTGGTGCCTCATCTGATGTTGGAATGGCATTCGTTGCTTGTGCAGCGCGGTATGCCCAACAGGGTGCGGGCCCAATTCCACGTCCCTAATCCCCTTTAGGGGATTTCCGTCAGGTAGCTATACAAGTATTAGTATTTCGCATTCTTGCCGGAACGAACGAGAGTAGCGCACTGTGCCACCGACTACGACAATGATGCTCTTTTCTTCCATCCCCCATTAACGAGATGCGCGTGCTGCGGGTGTTGTCGCCCAAGATTGACTTCTAGTGCACCTCGCCTCGCTTTGCTTCTATTTTTTCACTTCGCGAGCGACAAGAGATACAAGCCCGTGACATCGATGCAACTGCTGTCGCTTGCTTGTAAGAAGCACAGCCGGTTGGGAGCCATTCCTCTTTTTCCGGACACCGAGCAGGCTCTCGAGATTGAGGTGCACAACGTTCTTCCCAACCGGCATTTTTCCGGTGCGACAGCAAAACATGTCATGTGTGACCACAAGTGGAAGCCGAAACCGTGACATCAAAACAACAAAATTGGTGTTCGCTCCGCTCTGTCGTTTCGCTCACGCCGTGCCCTAACTACGTCACCTCGGCCCCTCCGTCGCATGTTCCTCTGTCCCCTCTTTTCAACCTGCGACCCTCCCCCCTTTCCCCTCTTGCACCCCACTTCCTCCCTCTATCAGCCCCCTATCCCGCCTGTTCTCAACGCCATGCATACCGCTCACGTTTTTCTGAGATCGTTAACCTCTGTCTGGTGGCTCAAGGCGAGCTGCGCCAACTCCCTATCCACCGTAGCAAGCAGCAGCGATTCCTGCAAGGCCGGCGTGTTTGTGCCATCGGTTGGTTTTGCGCCGCCGACGGACGAAAAGCGACCGCGTGGAGGTAGGGCGAGGGTAGAGGGTGAAGCGAAACAAGGCCAAGAAAAAGGCACCCCAGGGCTAATAAGCCAAGGGGAGACGGAAGCAAGTGCTGAAAAAACGAAGCAATTCGAGACACGCACAGATAGCTATGCATGTCCCAAACCACCCTTCCAGGAAAATTTTTGTAGAGCCTCGGCTCGTAGCTCATTAAGGCTAACGCAGACCGTAGCCAAACCATCCAGAACCAGCAAATCGAGATGCGAAGTCCAGTACGCGGCATTAACACCTTATCCCGGCGTGCCTTCTGCAATTTGCGCTGAATCTTACAGCGACGGTACTCAGCCTAAAACATGCCTATGGGCGCAGACGCCACAGAAGTAGGGGAAGGTTTGGGGTCCGGTCGTGCCCACGTCGAGGGCGCCACCTCGTCAATCTCGTCGGCAGCCCATCACGCAGGTCATCCTTGATATCCCAGAACGCTCACGGGACACCGCAAGCGCCGGCGAAACGACATACCATAGGTGACGCAAGATACCACACACCCCCGACCGATTTTCACAGCTCGAGTACGCCAGGACGAAGAGGATGCCAAAATCAAACGACACGTGTGTGTTTTCTTGAAAGATTCCGATGAGACGCTTCCAACGCCGCCATTTTGGGTACCGCCATGTGGAGTCATCGAGCTTTGAAAATCGGTCCATGGGGTGTGGTATCTTGTTTGACCTACGGTACATACCCGCGCCCTGCCGTCAACACAACCCCCCGCCCCGCAACGAACAAACCCACCTGCTGCAGCGTCCGCTGCTTCTCCTTGAGCGCGTTCCGCACCGACTGCTCCTTCTTCTTGAGCGCTGCCTCAGACTTTTTCCACGCCTCCTCCTGCTTGCTAGTGACCCCCTTCGCACCCTTTCCCCCTGCCGCTGCTGCTGCTCCTGCTCCTGCTCCTGCTGCTGTCGCCGCCCCTCCGAACCCGGCCACCTTCTCTCCGTTTACAAAGATGGGGCGGGAGGAAGACGGCCCGGCCATCTTTTCCGCGTTCAAGGCTGGTCGGGAAGACGCCGGCCCCGCCATTTTTTCCCCGTTGGCGGATGGTCTTCGTTGGGGTGGTGCCGCCGACGCTCCGCCGTTCGACGACGCCCTCGCCGCCGCTCCCACGTCCCCCGAGCCTCCACCTAGCCGTCGCGGTTGTTCTGGGCTGCCGCTGCTGCCTGCCGGCATCTGGAGGTCGCTGATGCTGTTACCCGCTAAGACGGCTGATTGTTGATTGATTCGATTAAGCGAGAGGAGAAGCAACGAGGAACAGAAGGTCGACCGATTTGAGGGGGAAGTTTCGAGCCGAGTGGGTGGTTGTGGAGGAGAGTGAGATGGGGGCAGAACTGCTCTCGGCAAGCAGGTCGCGCAACCAACGCTGCGCCCTTCCCGGGATAGGACATCGCAGGTTCGTCGGCAGCTGGCGTCGTGGCGGCCAACATTTTGATGGATTTCGGGGGGGGGGGGTGGGGTGGAGAGGGCTGGTAGCATATGCACATCTACGAACAGCGCCATCGGATCAAATTACGCGGGGTACCGAGGTGATTCAAAGCACGGCCTTCGGACATGCCGCACGCTGCAGATTAGAACGCGGCAACGGAAGACGACAAGAGCGTAATATGCACGTGTTGGAAAGCGGTTGACGCCCAAGGCACTCAAAGGACGCCCCCCCCCCCCCCCCTCCCCTT